TTAGCATGGCACTGTGTGTAGTGACAGTGACTTTTAAGTGCCCTAACCAAACACTAGATCTACCCTGTTAAAATCTCTGATATTCAAATTAGACTGCTAATCTCTATGTACATATATATAAAACTGGCTTATTGGTTCGGCCTATGCTACATTGTATCTTCCTAAAGTTAATATATTACATATTCAGTGTACATGCAGTATGTGTTTGAAATCTCTGTCCTTCTATAGGGAAAGGGCTTTTATAGGCAATGCCTGTGCCCAATCCTATTGTTAATTGCAACAATAAATTTATTTTGAAATGAAATTCCGAGAAAGCTACAAGATAATTATAAGAAAAATATAATTTGTTTACCCATAGCGGTCCTTTCAACTACCTTTTGTTACATGACTATGATTTTCAATTCACCAAATAATGTTTCACTTGCAATTACCTTGATGATGTACCTAATAGGGGATAGTTGTATGACTTCAACACTAAAAATGTGTTTGGTACAATAGCTGCATAATACGATACTCTTGTCATTATTAGTCTGACTGTTTTTGTCTGGAGCATTGACGTACATACATTTGTACAATGTATATAAATGCGACGTATGGGAATCGTACGGAGTGGTCACAATTCCAGACGTTCAGTACTCCCATTAAAATACCCTCATCTCAACCCACATAACGTCTGACACGACAACTCCACAAGGCTTCACTTCCACATTATCTATTGCATAGTTTTTGCCATTCTTTAAGAAGGTTATTAGCTAGGACCATCGTCTATTACGAATGATGCATTAAGAACTATTCCCTGTCAATATGTCCTTGGATAACAAAAAGGAAACACAGCACAAAACAATCAAATAAACAGCCTTGTTTCTCGCTGCCACATTGTTTCATGTCACAGGGGTTCGAATATTTACGGAATTGTTTTCCAGTTTAATTTTACAATACAGGGTTTTGAGCGATGCGTGTGACGGTGAGCAAGTTTCACATTTGCCATATGCAGAAATGTTCTATTTGGTTGTGCGATATGAATATCGATCGACGATTTGGACTATGCTCATGAGTGTTCCTTCTGGTGTCATCGCACTTCCTCGTTTCTATTTTTGTGGACAGGAAATGTTTTGGTTTTGACCTAGATAGTCTTAGCCATAGTCATTTTTAACCCATTCTCTTTTTTGTTTTTATTATACAAAATAAACGTAGTATATGTTTGGTATGTTTATAACTGAAGGCCTACGAAAGTAGTATTACCTATCAACTTATAACTGATATGTCTAGCCATTTATAAAATTTGTTTCATCATAAGTGTTCAGAATAAATGGTAGATTATTTTGTGGTTAGAATTATTTTCAGAGTGAGGGAATATCATGTTTTTGTTATCAATACACAAGCAGAAACACTACATATAGTGCCCACAACGTTATGTACATGTACTTGAAAATCATAAAATTTAAATTGTTGCCCGTGTTATATTTTGGCTCTTTCCGCATTGAACAAGTGAGCAAATGTGATTTAATAAGGCAACAAGAAGTAATGTTGTGAAACGCATGACCTTTAAAATATTTCAGAATAAATTTCTGTACGCGAGGTCCACTGGAGGTCTGATAGCTTCTCCTAATGGTATATCCTAATGATAACAGTGTCACGCTAAACATTCATACTTACAAAGTGATAGAACAGAATGGACAATATCATTACATTTCGGACCATAACGATTTCATACAGAAAAGTCAGTAAAAGTTGTTACATGAGAAGGAGTAACGACAAAGTTAAACACTTGAAACATGACATATACATGAAGGCAGGAAACAGTGAGGGTAAAGGGTACCAGACAATCAATTTATTTAATAGTTATTCAGAATTTGAATGATTGTTAACAAAAATAAGAGAAAAGAAAAAAGGAAAAACTTGCACGGGTCGAACTCATGAACTTAACATTGCAGATATACTCTTTACCTAAAATGCCATGTAGGAATTATAACTGTACAGCATCAAATATGTATAAGTTATGTGACGTTTTGGTATGGTCAGAATTTAATCTAAGCATGATTTTCTTCAATGTAGACAACTGCGACCTTTACATAAATGTAAGAACATATTACAAAAAGCATATATTGTGATTGAATCTTCGTGATGAAGGAGCATGAATACAAAGACTGCCAAACTTCCTAGGAGACACAGTAGTCTAGTAGTAGAACGCCGGTCTCGTAAGGGTTGTGGGTTCGAGTCACGTCGCGTCACTATGTTGTATTCTTGAACCAGAAACTGAACTCCGCCTGTTCAGTCTACTCAACTGTAAATGCGTATACGTACGTGGTTAGGCATTGCTGGAATTGTTGAATGCTACATAATGTAGCTGTGCGCGCCTCAATGGCAACACCGGATGAATGCGCCCAATGGAGTTGAGAAAGATATTGGCTGGTTGATAAGGCCCTATAACCATGGATAATAATTTGTGAACCGCTTTGAGACGACCTACGACCTATATTGTGATAAATGGTGTATAAGAACCTCGAATTATTATTATTATTATAATGCAAGCTTGTGTAAAACCTTTTTGTAGGAATCTGCTTCGATGACAAGCAAACCGACAAGGATAGTACAACTCAGATGTGACAATTCATTACTGTAACCAGTAAATCCTGATAAAATAGCCGATCAGAAAATGTTTCGTAGGAACTACGGAAGTAAAATACAAAATTTAGAGATCTGAATGACAGCCTTAGCACTCCTTCGATATAAGTTTCTAATCAAAGTTAAGAAGAATTAGAATTCATGTCATGATACCGACCTTAACTTTCAGTTTACTTTTATATCTAAACATCAGAAAAAAGGGAGAAAACTGGTCATAATGTTAATAAAATATTATCTATTCATTAATATTTCATCATGGGGAGGTCGAAAATCCAGACATGATGACATTCGTAATATACCTCTCACAAAAACTGACATTTCTATCAAAGAAAAAGAAACTGTAGTGTTGTGGTCAAACGGATATGTGTCAATCTCAGGTTAAGGATAAAAAAATATGTACATGTACTTATTATCCAGGCTTATACATTTTTACGAAAGTCAATTTAGTAGATACTTTTTTCATGGTGAAACTTCTGAATGACAAGTTATGACTAAAAACGAAATAAGGAAATAAATAAATTGCAATATACCTGTTAACTGTAATGATCATAGTCTTAATATGTTCTAGTTGGTATGGCAACCGGATCTGAAATTCTATACATTAAGCATGAATTAATCTACAATCTAAAACATACCTCACAAAATCAAACCGATGGAAATGTGGGACGATTGCTTTCAGTAAAAGAATAAATAACATTGTTTTCCGTTCTTTAAAATGAATGAAATTTAAAATCAGGAACATTTAGGCATTAATTTTTCTGAAAATAAATGTTGTACACAACTTATATGAATACAAAAGTATCAGTTAAATTAAAATACTTCGTAAATCTCAACTACAAATCAGTAGACTATCCATACTTTATCGGGACACTTTTCGAACAAGGGGATGTGGTATTTGGCAGTGTAACAATTGTCCAGTATCAAATGGTATAAGAATGTAATATTAGAACTGCAGTAATCATTACTGACAACGATTAAACAAAACAGATTAATAAAACGATGTACGACATAACCAAAACATAGGTAAGTCACGTGTTACCATTCTCAACATGGCGACCAGGATCACAGTTCAATGTATCATCAAAAACACATGGTGTAAAGCAAATAAATAACCACAAATATGATGAAATGAAGCACATATGAACAACAAAATAATTGTAGATGCCATAAACCAAACACATGAGATATAGTACTGCATCATTGGGCCATTACGTTCATCAGTTGTTTTTTCATGCACCTCGCCTACGTTTCAGCAGAACTTTCGGTTAGACCAGTTGGAATTATCACCTTTTGGCCTCTAGCATCACTGGGGAGTTCTTAAAGGACCAACCAGCTGCTTCATGTAATGAAATACCTTGTTAACAGACTGTATCAATAACCTAATTTTATAAGAGCAGTCTGTATCTGTCTGATGTTCATTCTTATTGATGCCATATTGTATGTATTTTTTCTATCGTTGCAAACGCAATGAAGTTTTTACGATCTCTTTAACTGAACAAGTGCGTCTACTCATACTCTGTCATGTCTCGTGGTCTCTGAAACAAACGAACACTTTCTGAAACACTGCAGTAAGTAAAAATACACTTTATTCCAAGATGGAGTTCGATGAAAATGAAATATATTACCACTCTCCTAATAACCATAGACATTACACACTTGCTGGCCGGCACGAGAAAAATGTCCATTGTATACATCAATTGATGATTAAATCTAGGCGGCTAGTTGAAGTATGATAACTGTAAAACTAAAGGATGTCAGTGAAACGTCTATATGATTCCCCGAGTTTTTTCTGCCGCCTTGGTTACAGTAACATATTCTAGGTCCCTATATAGCCGTCAAAACATCGCCAAGATTTCGATTGACACATGGTGATAGTATATCGATGCTTTAGAGTAACGACGTTATGCTTGATATTGAATAACACCCAATTTGGTGAGTACATGTAACTAGTTCTTAACCCGTTCATTGATGTGAACATTTATGTTATAACTAATTAACGCCACACATATATATAAAAAAAAATGTATAAAACTACTCTGTATTTGTATCTCGATAATTGTTTATATATGTAATTGTTTGCATTTTGTAGAATTAATGATATTGAACGAAATATAATTCAACGTAAAGAAACAAATTTGTTTACTTTATCTTGATAATTTGTATAGGAATCTGGAGTAAAGAATTAGTTTTATTATTTGTGCAAAATAAGCTGCCGATGTTGGTTCATCAATATTGAGGAAACGTCTCTGTGATGACATCCGTAGTTCTACAGGAAACATAATCATAGGGCAGAAGTATACCGGACACGGCCCACTTCCGGCTTGTTGTTGGCACACACACATTTTCATATCGTGGCTATGGACCATTATAAAGTACAAAGGAATGGACCCGAATGATAACGATACTTTAGCATGATTGCTAACCCCTTGTATCTTGTGTTGGTGTGTTTAGTAATAGGTGTGATTGGTGATGAAAACACGTTATGTACAAAGAGGATCAGGTATGTAAATAATAACAAATATGTGAGAGAATTATATATCATTTACTAAATATCAAGGAAATCAACTTTAAATATAGAAAAAATAACATTTGTTTGCATTCTTATTTTTGAATTACCTGTATGTCTCCATGTAACTAAATTAACACTTATTTAGCAAGTGCTTCGATCAAATTAATTCACGTTAAACAAGAAATACAAAACCTTAGATGAAAAGAATAAATAACTCTGATAACGCTTCAAAAGGATGACTTTGGAAACATTTTCTATGATACAGACCTTCTTAAGGTATCTCTGAAAATCCTATAAATTCATCTGATTCTATCACGATTTAAAACTGCATATGGTTTACATTTGCACCATTTATGTATGTGATTTATGGATTTCAAACTCTAATATAATTCAAAAGGATTTTAGATTATTGGCGGAAACGTATATAATAGCAAAGAGTGATGTCCCTTTGTTCAATCTACACGAAAACCATCTGTTTATTATTTTCAAAATCACTCTGGGATTTTGCAAGTTATAACATTTGTATATGTATTGTTTGAAATAAGAATGATTTAAGCACATAGCTTGCAAGAGACTGGATTGGTTTGCCTTTGCAATACACTCGTGTTTTAATTAAGGCATAAGAAAGGGTCGGTAGTAACATACAGGGAAGAGTGGGGATGCTGCGCAGGATACAAAGAAGGACCGGATCTGCTTTGTAAGAGTAAGTAAAATTCTCCTGCTGTCGTGTATTGGCCATTATCTATTTTTACTTGCACGTGCTTCTGCAATCTGTCTAGGATAACTTCATGTCTATATAATTGCATTCAAACCTGCCTTATATACCAACAAGCAATAGAATGACTAATTAAGTCTGCCTAAAAATCATTATGCCATATTGAACTTCATTTAAACTGATATTATATAAGACCTTTCTATAGTTACCATTGCCAGCAAAACCTTAGATACGATTTGTCATATACAGCCAAACCGGCAACAAATACCTCCTCCCGATGTCTACTACGTTATATGAACGTAGTCAAACATTTTACTAGTCAAATCTAGGTTAGCGAACACCTGTCTGTACAATTCTGTCTCTCGAGATAATTTCGATGTTATTAGGTGTTATAACCAATTTACTGGACTGAGATTTACACCATCACAGATAGCTATTTCGATGATTGCATGCTTCAGTATTATCACTATACATTAGAACTTCGGTATAATGTTCTTCGTTATTCACTGTTAGCCGATAGAATGATTCTATTTTATCATTTAACAGTCAAACATAAATATAAAGGTCCTTGTTTTTCACTATACAGTCGACGGAATTATTGTGTTGTATCACTCAACAGTAAAACCTCGATATAATGTTCTTGGTTATTCACTATATAGCCGATAGAATGATTCTTTCTTTATCACTTTTCAGTAAAACCTCGATATAATGTTCTAGGTTATTTACTATATAGCCGATAGAATGATTCTTTCTTTATCACTATTCATTAAAACTTAGATATAATGCTTCTCCTTTTTTAACTTTAGATATAAACTCGATATTATATTAATATTTTACCGCTATACCGTAAAACAGAATAAATACCTTTGATTTGTTAATAATTATTTTACACTCGAGATAATGTCCATTGTTTTATTGCTATTCCTTCAAAACTCGAAATGATACCCTGATTCATCACTAGATATTTTAAATTGATAAAATGCCAATGGTTTATCATAATGATTATGTATTTAAACCCCGACATAGTACCCCTCAATTATTTAGCGGCCTTCCTTCGAACAATATTAATCTAAATATAGATATCAAATTAGGGCGATAACACACTAAGAAGCATATAATAAGTATGTCCTGTCTTGGTTTTTTTCGCAGGATGTCCAAGCTGGGAGTATGGCATATCATGCACGCAAAGATGCCGCTGTGTGAAGGACAATACTATACAATGTGATCATATCACCGGAAGTTGTACTTGCCGATGGAACTGGACAGGACAGACATGCGCCATACCGTCTTACCTATTTAGGGAGAAAAGTATGCCTCTGAATCACTACACACATGAATTAACATAAATGTAAACTGATAACATATTTCCAGGAGCTATTAATATTATTATGCAATATTTATATACAAATAAAATGCATTACGTTTATAACCGTCCTTGTCATGTTTTAGGGCTTATAAAGAACAACTGTATAACATTTACTACATAATATGATTGATAGATAGTAAAATGCTAACCAATAGTCGCGTACGTTTATATCGTTTCGATTGATGATATTATATTATTACATCAAGGATGTTAATGTTAACGGTTATAACATTGAAGTTACTTCCCTTCAGTAATATCAATAAAATGTATGACAAATGGTTTAATATATAAATGTGATTGATATACTGTACTCTATCGATTTGATGCACCTAAATAATTGACACATCTTTCTATTTCACAGGACAAATTCCCAACAGTAAGTGTTAATACATTTCACAATTATTATGACATTCCTCTGTTAACTCCAAAAACTATTCTGGCAAAATGCGACAAAAGAAATATATATAAAAGAAGTTAGAACTTTCCGTTTGATATTAATAACGGTAGTCTAGGTGAGCAAACAATCCCCGCTGAATTGGGAAGGTTGCGAGAAGGGCAATTACACTATTTTCTTTACGGAATTAGTTACTTATTGTGTTGCTATTTTTCGTTAAATATTTTTCCAAATGTATTTGTCTATTGTCGTTGTTTATAATAGCCATCCAACAACCATAGGCTTGTTTAGGATCCTGGGCCTGAACTGTTGTTATTGCTCAGAAATCTTCATATAACCATGTATATAATTATCAAAAATTATATATTTTTTTGCAATCCGTTTTCTTTCGGGTTTATTACAAAATCATTGAACAGTGGTTTTGTGAGGGGCCAGGGAAATATAGGTTATTTCTTGATATAAATCATGTAATTTGTGTTATTCAAATTTATAATAACGTTCAAATTTATGCAATTTTGTATTGTTATACACCGCTTTGAAGCCATTGATTTGAATAACGAACGTATAAAACAGTATCCTGAATTGTTTGTAGCTTTACACACAAATGTTATGTTATAACCACCTTCTGATAAATACAATACCTCAACGTTATTTTATCTCTTAATATTATGATATCAGCACCGCCGGCTCCGACGACGACTATCTGTGGTTTATGTCAGGAAGGGACCGCTACCTGTTCCTCGAACACAGGCTGCGTGTGTAATGAGAACTGGTCAGGAGCACTATGCCAAAATAGTAAGTATATAGAACCGTATTTTTTAGTATGTAGTCAATAACTAACCTAAGCTTCGAACTGCCGTTCATATAATGTTTCATTAAGTACATTAGTGGTTTGCATCATATTTCAGTATCGGTAGGGGATAAGTATTGTATACATGTTTCACTATCGATCAATATTAAGTGGAGATGATAGGGTTTCAGCATTGGGAGATGATCAATGGAGTATATCATGTTTCATAAACGTTAGATGTAAAGTGGAGTAGATATTACTTCTGTATGGGTAGATATTAAGTGGAGTAGATCTTGTTTCGGTATTGTTAGATAATGTGTGGAGTAGATCTTGTTTCGGTATTGTTAGATAATGTGTGGAGTAGATCTTATTTCAGTATGGGTAGATACATTGTATTAAGTTGAGTAAAAGTTATTTCTATATGGGTAGATATAAAGTGGAGTAGATCTTGTTTCGGTATTGTTAGATTTTAAGTGGAGTAGATCTTGTTTCAGTATGGGTAGATATTAAGTGGAGTAGATATTATTTCTGTATTGGTAGATAATAAATGGAGTAGATCTTGTTTCGGTATTGTTAGCAAATAAGTGGAGTAGATCCTGTTTCAGTATGGGTAGATATTAAGTGGAGTAGATTTTATTTCTGTATGGGTAGATATTAAGTGGAGTAGATCCTGTTTCAGTATGGGTAGATATTAAGTGGAGTAGATATTGTTTCCGTATTGTTAGATATTAAGTGCAGTAGATCTTGTTTCAGTATGGGTAGATATTTAGTGGAGGAGATCTTGTTTCAGTATGGGTAGATATTAAGTTAAGTAGATCTTGTTTCAGTATGGGTATGTGTTAAGTGGAGTAGAACTTGTTTCAGTATGGGTAGATATAAAGTTGAGTAGATCTTGTTTCAGTATGGGTAGATTTTAAGTTGAGTAGATCTTGTTTCAGTAAGGTGTGTGTTAAGAAGGGTAGATCTTGTTTTAGTATGGGTAGATAATAAGTGGAGTACATCTTGTTTCGGTATTGTTAGATGTTAAGTGGAGTAGGTATTGTTTTTGTATGGGTAGAGATTAAGAGGAGAAATTCTTGTTTTGGTAGTGGAAGATATCAAACGGAGTAGATCTTGTTTAGTATGGGTAGGTGTTAAGTGGGGTAGTTCTTGTTTAGTATGGGTAGGTGTTAAGTGGGGTAGATCTTGTTTAGTATGGGTAGGTGTTAAGTTGGGTGGATCTTGTTTTAGTATGGGTAGATGTTATTTGGAGTAGATCTTGTTTCAGTATGGGTAGATAGTAAGTGGAGTATATATTATTTAAGTATGGGAAGATGTAAAGCGGGGTAGATCTTGTTCAATTTTGGTAGATGTTAAATGTAGAAGATCCTGTTTCAGTAGTGGTGGATATCAAGTGGAGAAGATCTTGTTTCAGTAGTGGTAGATATTAAGTGGAGAAGATCTTGTTTCAGTATGGGTAGATGTTAAATGGAGTAGATCTTGTTTACATTTGGGTAGTTGTTAAATGGAAAATATCTTGTTTCAGTATGGGTAGATATTAGGTGGAGAAGATCTTTTTTCAGAACGGGTAGATATTAAGTGAAGTAGATCTTGTTTCAGTATTGGTAGAAATTAAGTGGAGTAGATCTTGTTTCAGTATGGGAAGATGTTAAGCAGGGTAGATCTTGTTTCAATTTTGGTAGATGTTAAATGTAGAAGATCTTGTTTCAGTATGGGTAGATATTAAGTAGTGTAGATCTTGTTTCAGTATGGGTAGAATTCAAGTGGAATAGATCTTTTTTCTGTATGGGTAGAAATTAAGTGGAGTAGATCTTGTTTCAGTATGGGTTGATATTAAGTTGAGTAGATATTGTTTCAGTATGGGAAGATATTAAGTGGAGTAGATCTTGTTTCCGTATGGGTTGGTGTTAAGTGGGGTAGATCTTGTTTTAGTATGAGTTAATGATAAATTTGGAGTAGATCTTGTTTCAGTATGGGTTGATATTAAGTTGAGTAGATTTTGTTTCAGTATGGGTAGATATCAAGTTGAGTAGATCTTGTTTCAGTATGGGTAGGTGTTAAGTGGGGTAGATCTTATTTCAGTATGAGTAGATATTAAATTGAGTAGATCCTGTTTCAGTATGGGTAGAAATCAAGTGGAGTAGATCTTGTTTCAGTATGGGTTGATATTATGTGGAGAAGATCTTGTTTCAGTATGGGATGATGATAAGCGGGGTAGATCTTGTTTAGTATGGGTAGGTGTTAGGTGGGGTAGATCTTGTTTAGTATAGGTAGGTGTTAAGTGGGGTGGATCTTGTTTAGTATGGGTAGGTGTTAAGTTGGTTAGGTCTTGTTTTAGTATGGGTATATGTTATTTGGAGTAGATCTTGTTTTAGTATGGGTAGGTGTTAAGTTGGTTAGGTCTTGTTTTAGTATGGGTAGATGTTATTTGGAGTAGATCTTGTTTTAGTATGGGTAGATAGTAAGTGGAGTATATATTAATTAAGTATGGGTAGATGTTAAATGGAGACATTCTTGTTTTGGTATTGGTAGATATTAAGTGCAGTAGATCTTGTTTCAGTATGGGTAGATGTTAAGTGGAGTAGATCTTGTTTCAGTATGAGTAGATATTAAGTTGAGTAGATCCTGTTTCAGTATGGGTAGGTGTTATGTGGAGTAGAACTTGTTTCAGAATGATTAGATATTAAGTTGAGTAGATCTTGTTTCAGTATGGGTAGATTTTAAGTGGAGTAGATCTTGTTTTAGTATGGGTAGATGTTAAGTGGGGTAGATCTTGTTTCAGTATGGGTAGGTGTTATGTGGAGTAGAACTTGTTTCAGAATGATTAGATATTAAGTTGAGTAGATCTTATTTTAGTATGGGTAGATGTTAAGTGGAGAATAACTTGTTTTAGTATGGGTAGATGTTAAGTGGGGTAGATCTTGTTTCAGTATGAATAGATATTAAGTGGGGTAGATCTTGTTTCAGTATAGGAAGATAGTAAGTGGAGTAGATATTGTTTCAGTATGGGAAGATAGTAAGTGGAGTAGATCTTGTTTCAGTATTGTTAGATATTAAGTGGAGTAGATCTTGTTTTAGTATGGGTAGATATTAAGGGTAGATGTAAAGTGGAATTTATCTTGTTTTAGTATGGGTAGATGTTAAGTGGAGTAGATCTTGTTTTAGTATGGGTAGATATTAAGGGTTGATGTTAAGTGGAATTTATATTGTTTAAGTATGGGTAGATGTTGAGTGTGGTAGATCTTGTTTAGGTTTGGGTAGATGTTAAGTGGGGTAGATCATGTTTCAGTATGGGTAGATATTAAGTGAAGTAGATCATGTTTCAGTATGGGTAGATAGTAAGTGGGGAAGATCTAGTTTCAGAATGAGAAGATAGTAAGTGGAGTAGATCTTGTTTCAGTATTGGAAGATATTAAGTGGTGTAGATCTTGTTTCAGTATGGGAAAATAGTAAGTGGAGTAGATCTTGTTTTAGTATGGATAGATATAAAGGGTAGATGTTAAGTGGAATATATCTTGTTTTAGTATGGTTAGATGTTAAGTGGGGTAGATCTTGTTTAGGTTTGGGTAGATGTTAAGTGGAGAAGATCTTGTTTCAGTATGGGTAGATGTTAAGTGGGGTAGATCATTGTTCAGTATGGTTAGATATTAATCGGGGTTAATTTTGTTTCAGTATGGGAAGATAGAAAGTGGAGTAGATCTTGTTTCGGTATGGGAAGATAGTAAGTGGAGTAGATCTTGTTTCAGTATTGGAAGATTTTAAGTGATGTAGATCTTGTTTCAGTATGGGAAAATAGTAAGTGGAGTAGATCTTGTTTCAGTATTGTTAGATATTAAGTGGAGTAGATCTTGTTTTAGTATGGGTAGATATTAAGGATAGATGTTAATTGGAATATATCTTGTTTTAGTATGGGTAGATGTTAAGTGGTGTAGATCTTGTTTCAGTATGGATAGATATTAAGTGGAGTAGATCATGTTTCAGTATGGGTAAATATTAAGTGGGGTTAATTTTGTTTCAGTATGGGTTGATGTTAAGTGAAGTGGATCTTGTTTCAGTATGGGTAGAAATTTAGTGGAGTAGATCTTGTTTCAGTATGGGTAGATATTAAGTGGAGTAGATCTTGTTTTAGTATGGGTAGATGTTAAGTGGAGAATATCTTGTTTTAGTATGGGTAGGTGTTAAGTGGGGTAGATCATGTTTCAGTATGGGTAGATGTTAAGTGGGGTAGATCTTGTTTCAGTATGGATAGATATTAAGTGGAGTAGATCTTGTTTCAGTATGGGTAGATATTAAGTAGAGTAGATCTTGTTTCAGTATGGGTAGATATTAAGTGGAGTAGATCTTGTTTCCGTATTGTTAGATATTAAGTGGAGTAGATCATGTTTCAGTATGGGTAAATATTAAGTGCGGTTAATTTTGTTTCAGTATGGGTAGATATTTAGTGAAGTAGATCTTGTTTCAGTATAGGTTGATGTAAAGTGAAGTAGATCTTGTTTCAGTATGGGTAGATATTAAGTAGAGTAGATCTTGTTTCAGTATGGGAAGATATTAAGTGGAGTAGATATTGTTTCAGTATGGGAAGATATTAAGTGGAGTAGATCTTGTTTCAGTATGGGAAGATATAAAGTGGATTAGATCTTGTTTCTGTATGGGTAGATATTAAGTGGAGTAGATCTTGTTTCAGTATGGGTAGATATTAAGTAGAGTAGATCTTGTTTCAGTATGGGTAGATATTAAGTGGAGTAGATCTTGTTTCCGTATTGTTAGATATTAAGTGGAGTAGATCTTGTTTCAGTATGGGTAGATATTAAGTGCGGTTAATTTTGTTTCAGTATGGGTAGATATTTAGTGAAGTAGATCTTGTTTCAGTATAGGTTGATGTAAAGTGAAGTAGATCTTGTTTCAGTATGGGTAGATATTAAGTAGAGTAGATCTTGTTTCAGTATGGGAAGATATTAAGTGGAGTAGATATTGTTTCAGTATGGGAAGATATTAAGTGGAGTAGATCTTGTTTCAGTATGGGAAGATATAAAGTGGATTAGATCTTGTTTCTGTATGGGTAGATATTAAGTGGAGTAGATCTTGTTTCAGTATGGGTAGATATTAAGTAGAGTAGATCTTGTTTCAGTATGGGTAGATATTAAGTAGAGTAGATCTTGTTTCCGTATTGTTAGATATTAAGTGGAGTAGATCTTGTTTCAGTATGGGTAGATATTAAATAGAGTAGATCTTGTTTCAGTTTGGGTAGATATTTAGTGATGTAGATATTGTTTCAGTATGGGTAGATAATAAGTGGAGAAGATCTTGTTTCAGATGGGTAGATATTAAGTGGAGAAGATCTTGTTTAAGTATGGGTAGATATTAAGTGGAGTAGATCTTGTTTCAGTATGGGTAGATATTAAGTAGAGTAGATCTTGTTTCAGTATGGGCAGATATTAAGTGGAGTAGATCTTGTTTTAGTATGGGTAGATATTAAGTGGAGTAGATCTTGTTTCAGTATGGGGAGATATTAAGTGGAGTAGATCTCGTTTCAGTATGGGTAGATATTATGTGGAGAAGATCTTGTTTCAGTATGGGAAGATAGTAAGTGGAGTAGATCTTGTTTTAGTATGGGTAGATATTAAGTGGAGAAGATCTTGTTTAAGTATGGGTAGATATTAAGTGAAGTAGATCTTGTTTCAGTATGAATAGATATTGAGTGAAGTAGATCTTGTTTCAATAGTGGTAGATAATAAGTGGAGTAAATCTTGTTTCAGCACCCCTACAGGTGGGGGATCGGGAAAAGAGTTCACTTGTTGTTACCCACTGTATGTAACGTTCATATCTTGATTCATGAAGTAAATTAGTGGTTTGCATTAGGTTTCAGTATCGGTAGGGGATAAGTATTGTATATCATGTTTCATTATCGATAGATATTAAGTGGAGATGATAGTGTTTCAGTATGGGTAGATATTAAGTGGAGTGGAATTTGTTTTAGTATGGCAAGATTTAAAGGGTAGTTATTAAGTGGAATAGATCTTGTTTCAGTATGGGTAGATATTAAGTGGAGTAGATCTTGTTTTAGTATTTGTAGATGTTAATTGGAGTAGATCTTGTTTTAGTATGTCTAGATGCTAAGATGAGTATATCATGTTGCATTATAGGTAGGTGTTTAGTGATTGAGGTCACTATACTGTATACATATGTACGTTTCGATAACTTCGTTTAGTGACTTATAAATGTATGTTGTAATGTTACAGGAGTCACAACAACACCACGTAAGAGCTTTACTGATATATTTCAATAGTAATGTGATCCTTTTACTTTTTATATACAGACCTAGATTCTATTTTCTATTATTCAACTGGAAAAATGTGTGTCATACATTTGATATTTCATTACTTTTAGAAAGTAGTCAAAGACTTCTAGCTTTAAATCATATAATAATAACTCTTCTATTTTCATACGAGTATCAAAACGAATTTTTCACGTAACTATTCTGCAACTCGTTGAATTATATCTGAAGTCAGAACTATATATGACGTCACACTGTTTCCTTTGCAATAAACAAATCACAGAGCTTGATAAAAGTGAATACCATACCGTATTTACTCCTAACATTGATTCCTTAATTGGCACATGCAACCTGTCGCATGTAATACGAAGTTGTTGAAAAGTAAAAATTTCAGACTGTTTCGGCAGTTCCCATTAACCCTTCGGGGAATATCAGAACGTTAGCGACCCAAATTACGGTGAAACGAAATGCTGACTATCTGTGACGTAGCCTTTCTGTAAGTGGTCAAAATATAGCATATGGGATCAGCTACGTAACCATGTATTTCTGGTTCGTGTGAACTGTAATGAGCTGAAGTTTGGTTATAGAGGTTATCAATCGTTGTCGGTGTTGTTTTATACCTTTTTCTATCTTATTTGTAAATGCCATTTTTTAGATTATTAGAATAAATTCGTGGTACACATTTGATAAAATGGTTTATTTGCTATTGTTGCATACAATCACTGAGTGTAAAGACGTGACATAGTTGTCAAGGCAATGTATTGTGATGCAATCCATAGGCTCCCACCAGTAATGATTTCTTTATTTAACAAACTTATTTGTTAGTTTGTATAGTTACTCGTGTAAGTTATTGGTTAGTTTTGTTATTTGTTGGTTTCATTTAAAAAGTGATCCTTCATTGTGAATCTGGTCTAGTGAATCTGACCAGATCTGTGGTACAAGGAATATAACAGATTCAATACACGAGGTTCACAATGGAATGCATCGCTTTAAATTATTATCTTTACTTCAAGAACACAATTGATCTTTTTGCATGTGGCTTACCACGGGAAACTAATGCTCATTTCCTGTTGCGATGTCAAATCTACCATAATGTCAGGGATACACATTGACCCAAATAAACCAGTATCAACTCAATGAGAGATCATGTTCCTCCGGTGATGAAAAACTTCCTTTGGTTAAAACCGATCTCATCTTCACTTATGTTCATAACTATATTGGTGAAACCAAGCGTTTAAATTGATAGATCAGATGAGCTGTAATTGTCACATAAAATATTGATATGTCAGCATTTTAATATATCTATGTTTGTACATACTTACGCGGATCACCTTTGTGTGGATATTTTATCTTGTTCATGACGTCACCTGGTGCAAGCAGATGTTTGTGTTTGAATAAGATACGTTCCCATATGGGAAAAGTCCATTCTCAAATAGGTCTTAAGTTGTTCTTAAGTTGTTCTCAACTATTTTCATACTGACAGCTTATGATAATGAATTCATCAGGCTACCGGTAGACGGTATAAAGTACTGAAGTCAATAGATGCTGATGTACATTATATCCCTGATGATAACACTATGCCAATGTTATATATTGTTTAAAAGATGATGACAAGGATGTTATAAAATTAGCTAGTGTAATGTGCATGGAAAATACTTCTCGAATGTAAATAAATGTGTAAAATTGTAATTAAATGTGTTTTGTAACGTCATTTTGACATTCCCTCAGATTTCGATGTTTGAGACCTATGTTGCAAATTCTGCGAACTCTTATTAGGTGTTTTTTATCAATGTTATTCCAGCCACGACGACGATAATCATGGTCTGTGAGTGTCATTTTGAAAATACAGAGAGTTGTACAGCAAGAACGGGGTGTGTGTGTAAACCCGGCTGGACAGGAACAATTTGTAGCGAAAGTAAGTAGGCCAAAAGCATAGTCATATTTCAGAATACTTAGACGTTGTTTGAATGGGGTCTTACTTCAGTTTGGATAGGTGTTTAGAAATGCTGATAACGTTCCAATATGGGTGAAGATTAACAGATATGACTATATACTAAAAGCTTCTATGCTTTATTTTGGAAGACAGTAATAGGTGTTTACTATGTGTCCGCATAGGTAGACATTTCAGAGACAATATTCTATCACGGGAAGACAGGACGTTTGGACTTCCGTGATGTCTAGCGATCTATCCGTTATATATTAGTGATCTTTGTATATTTTAATCGGTAGTTTTATCACTTATTGACTCATATGTAATTTACACGTCTGGCGATTTTACAGAAGCAACAATAACAACGACTTCGGGTAAGTGATTGTTAGCAAAGTTCAACAGTATTGTGGCTTTTCCACTCTTCATAATAACCGCTACTGAAATATTGTAAGCATCATCGATATCCGTATCCCTGTTAATCATGTCATGTTCAATATCTAGCAGCAATAAGTGATATCCCGTCACCACCAGTGATATCTCATCATCCCTCTTTATCATGTCATTTTAAATATCTAGCAGCAATAAGTGATATCCAGTCACCACCAGTGATATCTCATCATCCCTGTTTATCATGTCATGTTCAATATCTAGCAGCAATAAGCGATATCCCGTCACCACCAGTGATATCTCATCATCCCTCTTTATCATGTCATGTTCAATATCTAGCAGCAATAAGTGATATCCCGTCACCACCAGTGATATCTCATCATCCCTCTTTATCATGTCATGTTCAATATCTAGCAGCAATAAGTGATATCCCGTCACCACCAGTGATATCTCATTCCCCTCTTTATCATGTCATGTCCAATATCTAGCAGCAATAAGTGATATCCCGTCACCACCAGTGATATTTCATCATCCCTCTTTATCATGTCATCTTCAATATCTAGCAGCAATAAGTGATATCCCATCATTACCAGTGATATCTCATCATCCCTGTTTATCACGTCAGGTTCAATATCTAGCAGCAATAAGTGATATCCCATCATTACCAGTGATATCTCATCATCCCTGTTTATCATGTCATGTTCAATATCTAGCGGCAATAAGTGATATCCCGTCACCACCAGTGATATCTCGTCATCCCTCTTTATCATGTCATGTTCAATATCTAGCAGCAATATGTGATATCCCGTCATTACCAGTGATATCTCATCAGCCCTGTTTATCACGTCATGTTCAATATCTAGCAGCAATAAGTGATACCCCGTCATCACCAGTGATATCTCATCATCCCTATTTATCATGTCATGTTCAATATCTAGCAGCAATATGTGATATCCCGTCATTACCAGTGATATCTCATCATCCCTGTTTATCACGTCAGGTTCAATATCTAGCAGCAATAAGTGATATCCCATCATTACCAGTGATATCTCATCATCCCTGTTTATCACGTCATGTTCAATATCTAGCAGCAATAAGTGATATCCCATCACCACCAGTGATATCTCATCATTCCCCTCTTTATCATGTCATGTTCAATATCTAGCAGCAATAATTGATATCCCGTCATTACCAGTGATATCTCATCATCCCTGTTTATCACGTCAGGTTCAATATCTAGCAGCAATAAGTGATATCCCGTCACCACGAGGGATATCTCATCGTTATCATTGACAACGTGTCATCACTTATACCCTGTCATCATAATTGATAGTCGTCATTGATATCCTGTTAATATCATCGATAACCCGTCATCACCATTGATATCATGCCAAATTCAGTAATAGCCCATAACCATCATTATGGCTTGAGATCATCATTCACATTACGTAATAATCACTGATATCTCGCATCATTACGTATCAATTTCCCTGGCAGCCTCAGCATACATACTTATATCTTATTTTTACTTTGATTTGCATGATGGTTAAACTTACAACTAGTCCAATAGGGTAATGAGAATTTACATACAATCGTAAACAGTCGGTACTTGTATCAGTATTTTACTAAGAATATTCCTTAATTAGATGGTGGTAGCTTCATACTTTTCTGTTGTTTTTTATTGAACAGAATTGCTGTTCGATATTATGCATTGCCTGTGCACGTACCATGCAACTACTTTTAACAATATACCGATCGGACCTAATTTATCAGACATATATATATGTGTGTAGGATAGTATCTTATTTGTCACCAGCCCTTTTCAATGTCAGGAAAACATGTTTGGAAATAATATCTTTGTCTTTCATATGTCAACATGAAAATCATTATTTACAGAAGGAACCATATATATGGATAATATATCCGACGAACTCTTAGTAGAAACATAAAGTGTAGTTTAGTTGATGGATATTCTTGGTGCGTAGGTCTATTTGGGATCGGTATAGGGGGAAGGGATTTGGATGAGGGTAGTTCCCTCCTCCGTGTATATCCATGACTTTGCCTCCCAGGCACCCACTATTTGCCTTACCCTTCATATCAGTTGTACCTGTTATGTTCATGTCAATAGCTGGAAATTAGATTACCAATACAAGTAGTATAAGCCCCTATTATATCATCAATTCAGTATGTTTATTTTTATACAAATTATAGTTTTCTGTCAATTCCAATTTGTTAGAATACCGCTATATAAATGATTCTCAATTTGATTAAAGATGAAGGCATGTCAATAGTTCGTGTAGTGTGATTAAGACTTATCAACCACAATAAAAGTGTTACACAGGTCGATAATTCAATTTTGTTCAATACGAATTATGTTGTAATCCTTTTCAGTATACTTTTGTATCTTTATCCATATTTGCAGTGATTAATATTGAAAAGTAGCGTTGAATCGTGGGCCACTGAAATCAATCACATTGATGTAACGCTTACTTGGTAAGCCTAAGAGATATTCAAAGCTATACTTCATAAACATGTAGAAATCAATTTCTAAATTTTAGTAGAGGTATGTATTAGGGTTAAAAGGTGTTCTGTGTAACATGTCCTTGTGCGTACATTAAGGCCAGTGCTATAGCAAAATATTCAACAAAAGGGATAGTTTATTTCCAGATAATGTGAGGGTATTGTTCTAGCTCAATCAAATCGTTAACATCGATTACTGATAATGTGAGGGTATTGTTCTAGCTCAATCAAATCGTTAACATCGATTACTGATAATGTGAGGGTATTGTTCTAGCTCAATCAAATCGTTAACATCGATTACTGATAATGTGAGGGTATTGTTCTAGCTCAATCAAATCGTTAACATCGATTACTGATAATGTGAGGGTATTGTTCTAGCTCAATCAAATCGTTAACATCGATTACTGATAATGTGAGGGTATTGTTCTAGCTCAATCAAATCGTTAACATCGATTACTGATAATGTGAGGGTATTGTTCTAGCTCAATCAAATCGTTAACATCGATTACTGATAATGTTGCATATGTCATTAATGTTTCGTTGCATAAACATATAAAAAAGCAAATTCCAATGATAGCGAGTTTAAATCCAATAATGGGTATTTTTTCGTATCCAATATTGGGTTATTTTCGTACTGAAACCATTTTTTTTTATTTTTTACTTTTGTTGGACTGTAACCAGCGACGGTACGAGCCTATGCTAAAGACACTGATGTCTTTTAACCCACCTTAGCCTCTTTGATGTTATCTATTTATGACATATTCCATATAATATTCATTATCTCTTTAACTTTTATTATTTGAATCCCTTTCATATTTCAATTATTTACACATACTATGCGAATGCTTTTACAAATATTCATTTTAATCTGTTTTTATCTTCGCTACTCATATGTTTGTTTGTTTGTTTTTGTTTTTGTTTTTAAATAAAATCGCTACGGCCCATCGAAACCTTTTAACTATGAGCAAATGCAATATGAACACAGTGGCCAGAACAGCTTTGATTATTGTTTAATTACGAAAAAGCAACGTCCCTTTTTATCTCACTGATATAATCTAATAGGAACATCACTTTCATGTAACATTACAGATTTATTGATGACAACAAAATTATAATGTATCGAAAACAAAATCAGACAAACGTTAAAAAATCATTCTATGCATTCAAAACAAACTTATTTTTCATCATCAAGATATGTTGAAGAAATCATAATTGACCATTCTTATATAATCCAGTTATGCATCAATGCCAAATTTATTTAAGCATTGAACTGTTTTTGTATGGTATTTATGATCTATTTGAATGACAAAGCTTTGCAAGCAACCAAATCATAATGCGTGCTAGCGTATTATGATGTGTTTGCTTGCAAAGCTGTGTCATTCAAATAGATCACAAATACCATAGAAAAACAGTTCAATACTAATATATTTTGTATTTACGTTTTCTCTGCCTCTTATGTTCTTTTTTAACTTATACTTTATATTTAAAATTAGAAATGCCCGCCTTATCGACAGTCCTCACAATTTCGTTCAATAGTTTGAACAGCGTATTGTCGCGTGCTGATTGGCAAACAAAGTAGTTCTTTGAAATTTTAACAAACACTTCAATTTTATTCCACAATTCGGTATCAATTCAATTGGGTATGATATGTCTATAGGGTGATTTAGGTTTAGTTAGATTTGAAATTGTTTCGATTTTCCCCAGGAACAAACTTTCGCGCATGGATAAATACAGTGAACACCGTAAATCCGACCTTGCCCTCCACGAGGGAGTTATTTTTGGAAGTTAACTTGAACTTTCTCTTTGATCATTTTGTGAAGAATCCAGACGACACGTGAATTTATTTGTTGATTAAATGGGAATCTGACTACAGTCTGTAGACTCTATAACAGTCTCGTTATTTGACATGTCGTCAGAAACTGAGGAAACCGTGGCTGCGAGACGCGTGAAACTGATAGCGTTTGAAGTGATTGATCTTGCGACGGAGCACAGGGGCTCGTTACATATGTCTGAAATGTTTATGTGTCCTGTGACTGATATCAGTAGGTCTGTAACATATGTGTCAGTAGGTCTATAGTGTGTATTTCAGACATTTGTAACGAACCCCTGTTGATCAGTGCAGTGTAACAGACGATATTTCTGATAAATTGCATGAGCGTTAGCCGGCATTGGTGATTTCAACCGATGTGCACTTTGTACGATATTGCAGACCTTGGTCTTGTTTTAGTTGTAATAAAAGTATTTACAAAATTACGTAAATTTACAATGACACTGTCAAGTCTCACAATGCCCAGCGATATTTCATCAGTCGTCATGTTTATTTACATTGGATATTGTAGTTCCGGTCAGTGATGTATTAATACGCTAAGAAGTGTGTCTCGTGCTGCATGGCAGTTAAAGTCCCATCAACGACACAGCTTTCAAATAGGCTATATGGTGACAATGCCATGCACATGTAAAAATAACCTGTATGATGAATTCAAATTCTGTCATTTCAGGCCCCCTGACATGTGATGCGTGTGTGACCCAGAACACAGAGAGCTGTAGTTTAAGCACAGGTTGCAAGTGTAATGCCGGCTGGGGAGGACAAGTTTGTGCAGATGGTAGGTACATACAAATATATATCATAAAACATAATTAAAATTAAGACACAGCCATTGATTATTAAAAGTTAATCGCTTATTATTTTGTTGCAATATGTTTGTGTACGTGAAAAGGGGGTTATTTCAGTATGGTGTGGATCATGTTTCGATTTATGTTGTGTGAACTGTATCATGTTTCATTATAGGTAGATACTTTGTGGAGTGGATAGTGTTTCATTAGGAGTAGATGTGGTGTGCGTCATGTTTTATTATGGGTAGTTGTTATGTGATGTGAATAATATTTTATTAGGGGTAGATGTTATGTGGGATGAATAATGTTTTATTATGGGTAGATGTTATGTGGTGTGGATAATGTTTTATTATGGTAATGTTATATGGTGCAGATAATGATTCATTATGGGTAGATGTTATGTGGTATGCATAATGTTTTATTATGGAAAGATTTTATATAGTGCAGGTAATGTTTCATTATGGGTAGATGTTATGTGGTGTGGATAATGTTTTGTTATGGAAAGATTTTATATGGTGCAGATAATGTTTCAGTATTAGTATATGGTATATGGTAAATAATGTTTCATTATTAGTATTTGGTATATGGTAAATACTGTTTTGTTATGGGTAGAAACTATGTGTAGATAATGTTTTAGAATGGGTACACGTTAGTTAAGTGGTGCAGATTATGTTTCGATATGGGTAGACGGTAAGTGGTGTAGATTATGTTTCGATATGGGTAGACGGTAAGTGGTGCACATTATGTTTCGATATGGGTAGACGGTAAGTGGTGCAGATTCTGTTTCGATATGGGTAGACGGTAAGTGGTGCAGATTATGTGTCGATATGGGTAGACGGTAAGTTGTGCAGATTATGTTTTAGTGTGGGAAGACGTAAAGTGGTGAAGGTCTTGTTTCAATATGGGTACATGTTATGTGGTGTGAGTCATTTAAGCATTGAACTGCTTTCAGTTGGCATTCATAGGCAATATGAATGTCAAATGGACAAAGGAAAATTCAATGAAGAGCGCAAGCGCGCCATGTTGGATAATTACCGTTACTATTATTCAACATTTTGTTTAAAAAATGTATGTATCGTTTATGCTTGTTCAATGAATAGAACAGCCATCGCCCAGGGAGGGTCAGTGGTATCCAACGTAACAATTATGACGTCATAATAATGATGACGTCAACAATCGGTCCATGGCATTCATAGCCTACATGAATGCCAACTGAATTTGGTAGGGTTATATAGTGACAATGCCATACTATATATTTCAGTATGGGTATATGTTATGTGGCGTGTGTCATATATTTCAGTATGGGTATATGTTATGTCGTGTACGTCATATATTTCCGTATGGGTATATGTTATGTCGCGTGTGTCATATATTTCAGTATGGGTATATGTTATGTGGTGTACGTCATATTTCCGTATGGGTATATGTTACGTGGCGTGTGTCATATTTCCGTATGGGTATATGTTATGTGGCGTGTGTCATATTTCCGTATGGGTATATGTTATGTGGCGTGTGTCATATTTCCGTATGGGTATATGTTATGTGGCGTGTGTCATATTTCCGTATGGGTATATGTTATGTGGCGTGTGTCATATTTCCGTATGGGTATATGTTATGTGGCGTGTGTCATATTTCCGTATGGGTATATGTTATGTGGCGTGTGTCATATTTCCGTATGGGTATATGTTATGTGGCGTGTGTCATATTTCCGTATGGGTATATGTTATGTGGCGTGTGTCATATTTCCGTATGGGTATATGTTATGTGGCGTGTGTCATATTTCCGTATGGGTATATGTTATGTGGCGTGTGTCATATTTCCGTATGGGTATATGTTATGTGGCGTGTGTCATATTTCCGTATGGGTATATGTTATGTGGCGTGTGTCATATTTCCGTATGGGTATATGTTATGTGGCGTGTGTCATATTTTTTAGTATGGGTGTATGTTATGTGGTGTACGTCATGTTTCAGTATGGGTATATGTTATGTGATGTACGTCATATTTCAGTATGGTTATATGTTATGTGGTGTGCGTCATGTTGCAGTGTGGGTAAACGTTAGTTGGTGTACGTCATATTTCAGTATTATTAATGTAAAATGACCCGTTCCAGTTTACGTAGATTTGGTGCAGACTATGTGCACCACTAACGTCCATTATTGATCGATTTTCATAGCCTGTGTCGAATGGACTTACGGATCTGGATGCATGGCCTGTGACTGTGACAGGACAACTAGCACCACATGTGACGTCATCACCGGTGGCTGTAGTGAGTAGCACATCTAATAAGTCGAGTCGTACTGTGTCAAGCATTTCTATTTTATCGCCATAATAATTTCGACCAAATATCGGACCATAACACAATTATAAAGATACACAATTAGATACCATTTCAGTTATAACATAATTCGATACATGTATTTAGTAAATATGTGTTGTAACATACCATTATTAATTTCCAAAGTTACGATGACGTCATTTTAGCTCTGAACTATATTTTATTGTAAGTGTAAATATATCATCTGCCATCTACTGTATTTGTGAAACACTATATAAATGTTATCAAAATAGCAAGATTTCACAGAATAAATCCATCCTGCAAATACGTATATATGTGAAAATGCTAATAATAATTTTGCCTCCGGCTTTTAACATATTGGAACCGCCCCTGGCATTACCATGACTCCGACTCCGAAGATATTAATCTTATACGATATTCTATATGAATGACTTGGTAAAGAGAACATAACTTGTACACATGAAAAGATACTATAGTAATCAATGAGTTAATGTTCGTATAGATTAAAAGTCATTATATTCTTATTACATCTGTACTGTCCTGGTACCCAACATTTTGTAACAATATTTGGACAAAACCATTATTTTCTTTTCAAAGTTTATTTAATTCCACAAGAAATAATCAAAGAATATTTTTAATTAGATTGCATTTCTACGGCCTCCGGATTACTGTTTTAAGGATCGCAATTTGCTACAGTAACCCAAACACTCTGTGGTACATTTATGATGTTTTAATGGGTTTTGACACAGCATTGTATAATGCTTTCAGTCAGCCCTGATTTGTTCTCTTTTATTTACCTAGCCTGTGAGCCGTACTACTGGGGTAGCACCTGCATAAATAAGTGTCCCGATTGTTCTGCCAACTCACTCACATCCGTTTCCTGTGATGATGCTACAGGGCGCTGTGTGTGTACCACAGGATACACGGGGACTACGTGTATAGAAAGTATGTCTTGTTTGCTGACAAGGGACCTAAGGGCGATATAATTCAAATTAAAAGTTTCTTTTTATTAACGAGATATCGTCGATATTTAAATAATTCACAAGTTTGATATCAGAACACAGAATGGCAAAAAGTCGAATTTCACATACGAATATACTTCCCTGAATGAGGATGTGCGTTTGAATTAAAGCATAGTCCTATATTTGGGTTTATTTACTTTGAACCGCATAATGTGACTAAAATCATAAATATTGTTATGTCAGTTATTGACATGAATAAACATCACACACATAATGATGTGCATCCTCGATATCCAGGGGTTACCCCTGGAATATGTCATAGCAAAATTGAAAGCCCGGTGTGCGCCATCTTGTTAATGAGGCAAGAAGACTAGTTCGATCCTTTGATGTACACCAAAAGAATCTTGCGGTCACGTAGCGGTAAAAATTGACAGGCTTTGAAGTCGGGCGTCTCTCCTTTGTAATGTATCAGCCTAGCGATTGATAAGATTTTTTACCTGAGACCAATCAAACAGCTATCTTCGTGCCTTCAATTTTTCTATGACATATTCCAGGAGTGCAGAGAGCGAAAGTGAGCGTAACCCCTGGATTGTTCAAACTCAGTCCGACCATGCGGTCGTGACGTCATACATATGTGTGCACATACATACACAGAATACACAGACTAGTAAAGTCTGTTTCATAATACATGATATGTTTACATTACATCCCCCTTTGTTGGGCTTTTATATTAAACTGATGTTTATAAGTAAAACAATATCATTATAGCAAGAACTTTTAAACACAACGCTTGACTCTAAATTGACTAGGACTAATCTCAACCTGGGACTAGATCAAAATAATAATATTATAACTAAAACAAATGTATTTTAGCCCAGTATTAGGTATTAAACTACAACTTACTACAAATAGTCACTTTTCTCGACCAAAACTATAATTAATAATAATAATTCGAGGTTCTCATATACCGCTTTATCACAACAGAGTTCGCAGGTCGTCTCAAAGCGGTTGAGAAAATAAGATTGAAATGAAAGAATAAAAATAAGAATGAGGCACAGTTTCCTTTTTCAGGGTTTACATCTAACGTGGCACGATTCACAAATACCACAGTTTTAAAGGTTAAGTTTTGGAGCTGGTTTAGATATTCGACACAGTAACTAGCACAGTCGCTTGACAATATTTGGGAGATCCACCATTGGTAGTTTGAACCTTGTTTTGAGATCCATCTACTCTCTGGTTGTTGGAGTTGACCCGAGACCTTGGTCAAATGTTCCCTATTCCTCCTCTAAAGTGTTTCTTTAGTAGTCTCGACCAGGAAGGATCTTGGGGTGTCTGACCTGATCTTTTGTACCTGGAATACGGGTGTCCTGGGTTTTTATACACACATTGTCACCAAATGAAAGCTCTGGTTGAGTTTGAGATCTGAGGGTTTTGTCATAATTCTTTTTCTGGACAGCCTTACACTTCTTGTCCTCTTTCTTGAACACCTCCAATCCCTTTCCTGTTTGAATAAGAATGGACGGGTGGAATGGGAGGGTAGTTTGCTGTTTCCTCTCAATAAGTAGTTCTGCCGGACTTTTCCCCTGTTCCAACGGAGTGCTCTGATAGGAAAGTAATGCATAGTATGGGTCCTTTGACTCGTTAAGGAGTCTATGGACAGTCTGTACGGCACTTTCAGCCTCCCCATTACTTTTAGGGTATCTTGGACTGCAGGTCATATGTCGGAAGCCGTACTCGTTGAAGAATTTACGGAATGTCTCCGAAATGTACTGTGGTTCATTATCCGATATCAACTGCTTTGGTATACCGAGTCGGGCAAAGATGGACTTCAGATGATTCACAACCAACTGGGCGGTAGTACCATCCTCTAATCGTGCGATTTCTATGTTTCGCGATAAATACTCTATCACAAATACATATTCCTTTTGGCGCCAGTGAAATAAGTCTGAACCGACATTTTGCCAAGGCCTATCTGGGGAAGTTGTGGAAATCATTGGCTCTGCCCGAGCTTTCCTGTGTTTTGCACATTCTCTACAATCGTGAACCATGTCACCTTTGTCGCGACTCATGTTAGGCCACCAAACAGATTATCTTGCGCGCCGCCTACATTTGACAATGCACTGATGTCCTTCGCGAATCTTTGACTGTATATCCTTTCTGAGAGAGCCCGGAATCACAAGACGACTATTTCGCATCAATAGACCGTTTTCCACTTTAAGTTCTTCGCGTTCCGTCCAATATGGAATAGCACGTGTCGATAAGCTGCCCTTTTCTGGTCATCCGTTCTGGCAACAAGTTTACCGCATGTCGCGTCGTTTTGCTGTTCCAGCAATATAGTGGCAACTTTCCCTGTAGTGGCGGGTATTTGAGCCATGACGTAATTGACGTGAGCAGCATCTTCTACACTAAGTTCCTCATCCATATCTTCCACATTATTGATAGGCGCACGAGATAACGCATCCGCGACACGAATGGATGATCATTGTCCAGGAGTTTACCCCCTAGTGTATGACTACCTCTTCATTTTCATCCGAAATCTTTGGATACTGGGTGGAAGATCACAGAGGGGTTTATAACTAAGTAATGAAAGTAATGATTTATGGTCAGTCTCTATAACTATGTCCATACCAGTGACCAGGTCACTTATTTAAAAAAAAAAACAGGTTATTGCAAGAGCCTCTTTACCACCTGTGCGTAGTTAGATTGTGTTGGACACATTGCGCGTAACGCTTGCCAAGTTCCACTGTTCGCTGGTTTTTGAAGTAGTATAGCACCTGCGCAATACGACGAAGCATCGGCCGACAGCTTCGTTTCCGCTGCAGGGTCATGCAGTGCTAATGTAGGAGTAGAGCTAGGTTCAAGTTTTACAGCTACAGGCCATTTTCTGGGCTTTACCCCAGCACCACTCGTTACTGAGATTTAGTAGATCCCTAAGAGGTTTTGTCAACTCTGCCAACTCTGCCGAAAACTTCCCAAGCTGATTTGCCATTCCCAGAAATCTGCGACGCTCAGTCATATTGCTCGGTGTAGGCATGTCCTCTAGTGCCTTGATTCTTTTCGGATCAGGTCTCAAACAATCTTCATCTATCACATGCCCCCGGAAAGTAACAGTAGACCGATAGCATTGACATTTCTCTTTGTTGAGAGTTCGCCCGTTTTGTTTGATCCTTGCAAGCGCCTCTTTGAGCCTGCCTGTGTAGAGCCGAACACAAGCGTGTCGTCCATTTGACATATCACTCCATCCAGTCTAAAATTTCAGTCATTTTCCTCTGGAAGTTATTGCAAACGGTAGACAGTGGTACTTGAACCTACCGAATGATGTGATGAATGTTGTGAGCAATGATGATTCTTTATTAAGCGGTGTCTGCCAGAAACCAGAATTAGCATCCAATTTGTTGAAGAATTTAGCACTACTAAGTTCATTTGGTGAATTTCACGTTTCACTGCTTCATTCAGCCTGGTACGATTCGTACAAATACGTATTTTGCCGTTTGGTTTGGGAACCACGACCATTCCAGCGCACCAATCAGAAAGCCCGTCAACTTGCGAGATTACACCAAAATTAACGATGCGTTTTAATTCGTCCTTGACCCTACCCAAGTATGGCATTGGTATGCGCCTTGGGGCTGTAATTGCATGTGGTGTCGCATGTGATTTCAGAGTGATTTTGTAAGCTCCGTCTCATTTCCCTAGACCACAAAACAACTTGGATTTGACTGTCACTGATCCAACGATTTTAATCAAATCCAATGCCTTAATGACTAGACTCTCTAGCAATGGGAATTGAGAGTTTTTGACAACATATATGTCCTGTAGTACAGTACACGATTTTCCGTGTATTTTCCCTTGGAATTTTCCCAAAACATCAAGTTTCTGTCAACCGGGACCAACACGTAAATTTGTTGATTTTGTAACAGAGTCTGTAGGTAATGTACAGTTTTTGTGGAATTACAATAACGTCTGCACCGGTGTCTATTTTAGAAGTCACCTTTCTTTTCTCGAGCACCGTGTTTATTGACCAATTCAAGGAATCCTTCTGATCTGTAGTTATTGATCCTAGAAACGTGTCCTCATGGTCGTGTTCTTCATAGTCACTTCCAGCGATGACCTCGTGGATTTTAACATTACGCTGTCCGTATTATTTCTTTACGGTGCGTTTATTCCGGCACTTTTTTCTGAAGTGTCCGGTTCCTTGACAGCCACATAACATTTTTCATCTTTCGCGGGACACTGTGCTAATGTCGTGATTTATGACCACACCGACTGCAGTGTGCTTGGTTACCATTGAGCTGAGTGTGCATGGCTTTGTTTAGTTTTGGGGGACGTTGTCGACGATATCTATCTTTATTGTAAAGTCTGTCAACATTTGCTGCTGTCTGATCAGCGTGCCGTACAACCGACTGTTGTTTCCTGACCGCTTCACTCTGGCGTGCCTGTGTGACCGTCTTTTCTAACGTTAAATTTGCATCTAGTTGTAATTTCTTGGACGGATTTATGTTTTTCAAACCGAATTCTTGTCTGTCCCTTATCTTTTCTTCCCTCAATGGTCCGTATCCGCAATGTTCGGATAGTGCACGAATGTTTCAACATGGGTTTACGCTGTTTAATTTTTTCTCGTTCAAAAATAACATTACGACGTACGATAAAGTAACCATCAAACCGTTCCTTCACTACATCTTACCCTTTTGAGTCCTCCTCCGACAACTCGAACGCACTAAGTATCTCTTCGGTCTCTTTGTCCGTTGCTTATATGAAGGTGTTGACCTGTAACGCCTCGTCCTTCTCTGCGAGGCCGGATACTACCCGGAATCTCTGGAAACGTTTCTCCCATCGTAACCATTCCTCGGATGCTTTAAAGTTCAACTTCTCTAGGGGTGTGAATTGAAAAGAGGTCATAGTCCGGTTTTAACTGCCGTTGCCGTCTTCTGATACCATTTTATGTTAGTTATTGACATGAATAAACAACACACACAGATTGCTGTGTAACCGCGATTTTATTGTTCAAACAGTCCAACCATGCAGTCGTGACGTCATACACATGTGTGCACATACATACACAGAACACACTGAGTAGTACCGTCTGTTTCTTAACACATTATATGTTTACATTACAAATATACCATGACGAATATGCTGAAAGGTGATGGTGTTCATGGTTTTGTTTCTTTTGTTCTCACTCCATCAAAAATGTATCAATGTATAGTCAGAAACATTAACGATGAAAACTGACTCGTGTCGCACATGTGTCGAGGTGCTGGACCTGTTTGTTTTATGTTCCGTACTGCGTCATTATAGAAAATGATAACAGCGTGATTCTCTGTCTAAAAGGGTTGTTATACTTGGAATTTTATCCAACGTAATAAATACTGATCGTTTTATGTCGAAGGTAAAAATAATAAGTTTTTAACAGCTGTGATTTTCAAATATAATTTAAACTTGGAAAAGTAGATATATATATATATATATATATATATATATATATGGGTCAAAGAAGTAATATAGACGGTAAAATCCCATATAATACTGGATCCTAATGTCCCATATATATATATATATATATATTCAGTTATAGTATATCAATTCTATCTTCTTGTAATATGATGTATATGTACATGTAACTGTTCTGTTTCATTGTGTCTTGAAAAAAGGAGCGGATCGCTCCGAAAATTTGACAACCTAAACTTGTCTACACTGTTGGAATTACTTCTTTGCCCCATATATATATATATATATATTATAAATCAGAAAAGTTATCCTTACGGACGAAGAAATATTATAAAAAGAAAAATTCTCAACAACGAGTCTTTAGTACTTTCATCTCTTCTAGGAGATTCTTCAGACTTATATATATATATAAGATATTATTTTATAAATCTTTTTAAAACATCAGTACATGGAAAACCTATGAGCATCGATGTTTGAATTAGTAAACTTTGATTTAACAAACAATCACAAATAAATTTTGTTATATAATTTACTCGAAGGTAGTAAATTTGTTACGATAAGGGTATTGTTTTAAAAATACACTGATGTGTCTATTCCAGCTTGTCCTGCATTCTCCTTTGGAAATAACTGCTCTTCAACTTGTCCATGCAATACAAGATACACACTATCCTGTGATCACGTGACCGGCGAGTGTAACTGTCTACCTGGTTACACTGGCATCAACTGTGACGAAAGTATGTGTCTATGTAGTGTGTTGTACACTTATAAAAATGACTAACCAACCGTTACTTTGTGTCTGATGTAAACTTTAATGTCACTTACCACCCGTTACTTTGTGTCTGATGTACACTTCAATGTCTCTAACCACCCGTTACTTTGTGTCTGAGGTACACTTTAATGTCACTAACCACCCGTTACTTAGTGTCTGATGGACACTTCAATGTCACTAACCACACGTTACTTTTTGTCTGATGTACACTTCAATGTCGCTAACCACCCGTTACTTAGTGTCGGATGAACACTTCAATGTCACTAACCCCCCGTTACTTTGTGTCTGATGTCCCCTTTAATGTCACTAACCACACGTCACTTTGTGTCTGATCTACACTTCAATGTCACTAACCACCTGTACATTTGTGTTGGATGTACACTTCAATGTCACTAAGCACACGTTACTTTGTGTCTGATGTACAACTCAATGTCACTTACCACCCGTTCCTTAGTGTCTGATGTACACTTCAATGTTACCTACCACCTGTACCTTTGTGTCGGATGCACACCCGTTACTTAGTGTCTAATGTACACTTCAATGTCACTTACCACCTGTATATTTGTGTCGGATGTACAAATGACTAACCAACCGTTCCTTTGTGTCTGATGTAAACTTTAATGTCACTTACCTCCCGTTACTTAGTGTCCGATGTACACTTCAATGTCACTAACCCCCCGTTACTTTGTGTCTGATGTACAACTCAATGTCACTTACCACCCGTTACTTTGTGTCTGATGCACACTTCAATGTCACTAACCACGCGTTACTTTGTGTCGGATGTACACTTCAATGTCCCTAACCACCCGTTACTTAGTGTCGGATGTACACGTCAATGTCACTGACCACCCGTTACTTAGTGTCCGATGTACACTTCAATGTCACTAAGCACACGTTACTTTGTGTCTGATGTACACTTCAATGTCTCTAACCACCCGTTACTTTGTGTCGGATGTACACTTCATTGTCACTAACCACCCGTTACTTTGGGTCTGATGCACACTTCAATGTCACTAAGCACCCGTTACTTTGTGTCTGATGTAAACTTCAATGTCACTAACCACACGTTACTTTGTGTCTGACCTACACTTCAATGTCACTAACCACTCGTTAATTAGTGTCGGATGTACACTTCAATTTCACTTACCCCCCGTTACTTAGTGTCCGATGTACACTTCAATGTCGCTACCCACACGTTACTTTGTGTCTGATGTACCCTTCAATGTCACTAACCAAACGTTACTTTGTGTCCGATGTACACTTCAATGTCACTAAGCACACGTTACTTTGTGTCTGATGTAAACTTTAATGTCCCTTACCCCCCGTTACTTTGTGTCTGATGTACACTTCAATGTCACCTACCACCTGTACCTTTGTGTCGGATGTACACTACATTGTCACTAACCACCCGTTACTTAGTGTCGGATGTACACTTCAATGTCTCTAACCACACGTTACTTTGTGTCTGATGTACAACTCAATGTCACTTACCACCCGTTACTTAGTGTCTGATGTACACTTCAATGTCACTAACCACCCGTTACTTTGTGTCTGATGCACACTTCAATGTCACTAACCACCTGTACATTTGTGTTGGATGTACACTTCAATGTCACTAACCACCCGTTACTTAGTGTCTGATGTACACTTCAATGTCGCTAACCACACGTTACTTTGTGTCTGATGTACAACTCAATGTCACTTACCACCCGTTACTTAGTGTCTGATGTACACTTCAATGTCACTAACCACCCGTACTTAGTGTCTGATGTACACTTCAATGTCACTAAGTACACTTCAATGTCACTAACCACCCGTTACTTAGGGTCTGATGTACACTTCAATGTCGCTAACCACACGTTACTTTGTGTCTGATGTACACTTCAATGTCACCTACCACCTGTACCTTTGTATCGGATGTACACTTCAATGTGTTAATGTGTGGTACAGTGTCGGATGTACACTTCAATGTCACTAACCACCCGTTACTTTGTGTCTCATGCACACTTCAATGTCACTAACCACCTGTACATTTGTGTTGGATGTACACTTCAATGTCACTAACCACCCGTTACTTAGTGCCGGATGTACACTTCAATGTCACTTACCACCCGTTACTTAGTGTCTGATGTACCCTTCAATGTCACTAACCACCCGTACTTAGTGTCTGATGTACACTTCAACGTCACTTACCACCTGTACATTTGTGTCGGATGTACACTTCACTGTCACTTACCACCTGTACATTTGTGTCGGATGTACACTTCACTGTCACTTACCACCTGTACATTTGTGTCGGATGTACACTTCACTGTCACTTACCACCTGTACATTTGTGTCGGATGTACACTTCAATGTCACCAACCACCTGTACCTTTGTATCGGATGTACACTTCAATGTGTTAATGTGTGGTACAGTGTCGGATGTACACTTCAATGTCACTAACCATCCGTTACTTAATGCCTGATGTACACTTCAATGTCACTAACCACCCGTTACTTAGTGTCGGATGTACACTTCAATGTCACCTACCACCTGTACCTTTGTATCGGATGTACACTTCAATGTGTTAATGTGTGGTACAGGACACACTTAAATATCCGAAATGTTTAGTTCTACTTTCTTGTTTTTGGTGTAACACTTTCTCTTCCTTTTTACCGTTTTAAGGTGTATTAACTGAACTCTTTTTTTGTATTCGTGGTTTGGAAATGTATTTTGCTTAGGTTAGTCATAAACAAATATAGATTTAAATACTCTTATGACATTTGCCCTATTTTTTTTGTCCCATGAAGTTACCGTTAAGCTTGCTTAGTTTACATTTAATCGTCGATTATCCTGCCACCTTTACCACCGCCAAAAGTGTCTGAATTGTATAACCATTAGAAAACTGCATATTTTTATAGTGAACCATTTCCCTGTCTCAACATTCACTGACTGGCTAATAGGACGCGTAGATTGATAGTGGCTGAACTAAAGGACTCTACTTTACTGGATTAATGATACATTGATATGGTTGTAGGATGCGGTCAGTTTACGTACGGCCAGGGCTGCTCTTTCAACTGTTCCTGTAACACAACAAATGCCGAAGACTGTAACAACGTTCACGGGGGATGTTTGTGTAAACCAGGCATTATTGGGGACACCTGTAATGAAAGTAAGTAGTTCTGCTGGGACCAACTATGTCGAGAGACATTTTTTTAAACTCTTTATTGCGAATGTTTCCATGTCAATTGAACATGCATCAAGAAAACAGCAATCATTAGGAAGTAGTTCGTGGAATCTCAAAAGCCTGTCTGTGAATATTTTTGTCTGTAACAATATTGCAGCACTGTCTTTCATTTATCATTTGATAAATTTCTCTTGATAAAGCATTACGATGACTTAAAGTTCATGTAAATTATTATTGGATCACACTGTCATTATTACTTATGAGACCTATATCTGGGAAAGTATATACATACCACTAAATGGTTAGTAACACCTCCTGAACAACGGATGATGTTAATGATTACAGTAAGAGCCAACTGTAGTCGATGTTCATAACAATCAACCAGTACAAAGTCTGTGTTCCATAGCACACCACATTAACCATAACACGCTAACGCGCGTTATTCAATTTGTCTGCAATCCTGTGAGAATTATAGGACAATCACTTTCGAAAGAAGGCAGTTTACTGCTTAAATATCTTTAAAAGTTAGCGTTCAAGTTAAAGCATGTGTATTCTGATGCATGCATTGTTAGTATAATCACATATACCACTTATAAACCACTGTTCATTGTAGCGTGTCCGGCCTGGTCGTACGGCTACAGCTGTGACAGCGGCTGTGAATGTAATCAGACCACCACGCAGAGTTGTGATAACGTCAACGGCCAGTGCGCATGTAATCCAGGCTATGACGGAATCATTTGTAACAATGGTGAGTTTTGATAGATATCGACATGAAAAAGCACTTCAAGCATGCATTGTTTCGTTGCTTATTCACGAAGCGGCATCAACTAGATGTGTATAAAAAAATATAACATGTTACCGTCTTTCCGTTCTCCATATATTTCAGCTATTATGACGGTATGTGACACGGTTTCGTTTTCATCTATTCCATTTTGAAACACGAAAAATAAGCGATAAAAAGAATCGCGTACAAACTGCGTTGGCATGATTTCCGATCGACAGACATCAAAGTCATAGTATATCAATGAAACTCGTGAACTCATTTCATTACTTAACAAGGTACTAGAAAAGATGAAAATCATTGTCTTACTGTAAAACTGGCTAATAATATCAATCATTCCGTTCCAGTTTGCCTGGTAGATTTCTACGGTAAAGACTGCAAGAATGAATGCGCGTGTGACAAAAACAAGTCTATTTCCTGTGACCACGTGACCGGGCAATGTCTTTGTATTACAGGCTACGATCAACCAAACTGCAATACCAGTAAGTCAACGTCGTTAAAACCTCGTGGTACTAAATTAAAGAGTTTTGATCCATATCAGCATATATCAATCATTCAATAAGTAAATGTGTACTCGTATATAATTGCATACATGACATGGTGAAGGGAACAGGGTATCGTTCAATGTAAGTGAACTGCAGAGCAACTACATATATGTAAATGTCCTCGTGACGTAAAAGCATGTTGCGTATGTAAAGATGCAGTCAAGTTCATGGCTACACCAACTGGCTTGGATGCAAACTATGTCATATGCTACATTATTTTTCAAAATCAAAAGCTCAGTGGTGTGTATTTTGTGAGTTTCTATTCCTTTTAACAAAAGCAGAAACTATTCCTATTTGCGTAAAAATGATAGGCATTACGTACAGCTTTGTCTTTTTTCTATTGTGTCATATAAAAATTGGTTTAGGATATGAGGAGAGTATTGATCAACGTCTCCGTTCTTATGTAATTATTAAAAAGAAATGGTGATGTAATGATCCACAGAGCGAGTACATGAAACGTTATCTGGATACACCATTTTGGAGTGGCCCTCGCAACATCATGTTTAAAATGTTAATGATAAACAATAATAATAAAAAAGTGGATTCAATTGTTATTTCTCGTTGAATATCGAAATAATTACATTTGTATAGAAAGATTTGCCTATATTTGTTTAAAAAAGTCAAAAGTCGCTACTCCCCATATTCCCGGTTTGGTAAACACTTTTTGACTGAAATAAATCATCTATCGAAATTGTGAATAGGACCAGATGTTCCGGAAGGGAACGCGTCTTCTGCTTCATCGATGACACTCGCCTTGTTAATCTGGGTCAAATCCAAGTAATGGCATGTCTTCAGATCGAAAACTCTGGTAGCGACAACAAAATCAAAATGCACTCTAAAGAGGTAATGGCAGCAGCCACCTTGATATCACACAAAGAAGTAGCATATTTTTATCCTGACGGCAACCAAAAAACTTGTCAATATTCTTCATCGACCTGCATCTTCAGAAATCATGTGTTGTGTGTTGCCCGTCAGTAGTCGACATCTATCACAGAAGTCATTGTATTTGGAGCAAGCTCGTGAGAACCGAATCAACTGCGAAATGTAAACACGGTAGGAAGGAGAATCAGGGATACTACTTTTTAGAAAGAGAACGTTCACGATCGGAAAGTCGAAGTCGTCCCGCTTATCGTACAGATTAGTAGTAAGCCGTCCCGTTTGGTCATTTTGTAAGTAAACAAATATTGATTACAAGCTTGGAGAGTATATACGATCGAAGTTGTGTACGCATTTCTTGTTATCTCGTTAAGACACCACATCGTTGATATATTGGAATGTGAAATTGAAGGATTGGCTATGTTTTTGTTACCGATCTTGATTAGCAAATCAATAAATTCAGCCTCATATAAAGACAAAACATATCAACTAGAAGACTGACACAGTTTGTTCCCATATGCGTGTCTACAGTCTACTGGAAAATCCTGCAATCCAACATTTTCACAATACCGTCCTCAGTTTATTTAGTTTTGGACTTTTGTACAAAAGATGTTCAAAAGTAATTAACAACCATATATCTTATCGCTGTTCGCATTTCTTTGAAAAGAAAGCTCTTATAACAAGAGAACGAATGCGTTCCTTCAATTTTGTATGAGGTGTAGTAGTGAAAAGGGTCGAAAAGTCAAACGTTTTGATAGAAGAAACATTTTTGAGTAGTGGACGTTCCGGATTGATCAAACGATTATTTGATTCTTCAAGATCCATATACCCTTTAATTCACTTCTTGAGTATACAGTATCACAATACAACTGCAACCCTGATTTAATGGTACCGGAAATGGTAGACAAAGTTTGGAAGACGGCATGGTTGAGCAACTAGCAGGACCAGCAATAAAACGTTGCTTATAAGAACTCTTGTGAAGTTTCGAAATCCAATACAAACGAGGCAGGTCCATATCCTTATCGTTAGTGGGTGTTCGGAAAGATTGTAATGTATAACTTTACTGTTTTTATATATTCTTCCCTAGCATGTCCAAGTGGGCTGTACGGTGATCAATGCGCCAGCCTATGTGCCTGTCCAACTTCCGCCTACTCTACCTGTCATCATATCACGGGCGCCTGCACGTGTAAACCGGGATATATTGGAGACACGTGTCAAACAGGTGAAATACACGAAATGGATTTAGAATAAATTATATTAAGTATTGCTATGGCAAAATTCAATACGTATAATGTGTATGTCTTATACTTCGGCAACGTAATGGTACTGGAGGTCCCACTCATACATAAATAACAAGGAAATGTGGACAGATTAGCTTGATTTGCAATGTCAAAGGTTTGAGCGATTACATGTACTATACAATGTATATTGGAAACGGGCAAGTTCATATTGTCTAATTAGAGATATGTTTATGTTTGATGTGTTTCCATGACTACATTGGTATTCTGTCACCATTAGGAATGAGCTAGTTGTATACGGTTTAAATGTACAAGGTGACGATCCTATATATAGGTTATGTCAATTTGACGCTGATGCAAAGATAATGAACGAGAATGCAGTAAATAAAATGACCTTATTGATGTCATTATTAATATTTAAATAAATTTTAACAAAATGTATCGCATTCCTCTGATGATAATTGTATTCCTTATAGATGCGTTCTTTTATTCTTTTTTAATTTTAGAATGTGCGGAGAATACATATGGAGTAGACTGCTTAGGTGAATGTGACTGTCTGGCGGTTCATACGTCTTACTGTGACAAGGGGACAGGTGTATGTGTGTGTGACAGTGGTTGGGAGGGCGTCAGGTGTGATACAGGTACGTCTGGTTTTGAACCGCTCAATCATTCTAATAGATTACATCGTATTTATAAAGTAACCAGTCTCAAGCAGACAAAATTTGAGAATGATAAAGCAACTTCTGCTTTTGACATCCAACAACAACTGGTTTAAATTAACAGGGGTCAGGTAGTCAATAACAACCCTTTCTAACCGTTCAAGCAGCGCATGACGCTCGCTGCTAAGGGCCAGTCTTCGCATTCTTGCTAGGATGTTTGAAAAGAATTGACAAATCATACACCGTAGTATATCGTAGTGAAATGGCATGTAGGGTTTGGTTTGAATCAGATGGACTATCATAATATTTTTTTTACAATTGCACGACATAGGGTTTTGTCTAACCCATGTGATTTGCAGCTGAAAACCATACAACATGATTTCAAACAATACCTGAAGATGGCTTTTACGAAGAGTTCATCTCGATAAAAATAACATTCAATTTGTCAAACGATAGGTAGTCCCGGCGTTTATACATACTTATATCATAGGGAAGTATTTAACATTTCTGTTTTTGATTCCTTTAAAGCTGCTGCTGTTGCGGCTGCGGACCCTCTGATAAATTCGCCCATCATTGCGAGTCTGATCGCTGTAGTAGTTACACTTCTGCTGGTGCTGATCATTCTGTTTGTACTGTGGAAAATATGTAGGCAAGTATGACTAAACATCCATCTACATATAACTCTGTCTTTCACAAATACCTTAGATTTTGCATTTTCTTATTAACGTTATTTGTGGCAATCTGAGTAATTCCACGCTCACACCTATACACCTTGTAAAATGTCCAATTAAAATTGATTTAATTTAAACGTAAACAAACAAGAGTTTACAAACTAAAAATACAAACTACAAGTTACAAATGGAAGACAGTAAACACGGTCTTATCTGACAAGTGGTTATATCAACAGACGTCGGTAAATCTTTTTAAACATTTTAGTAATAGTAACGTTATTTTAGTATAAAAGTTATATTAGTTATAAACAGGCTGCAGTTAATGCCTGGTAATAAGATTTTATTGCGCAGAAAACTACTGCTTTCAAACCTGCTCAAGCAACCATCTCCATTAAAAAATAACCTGTGTTTAAAGGCCATTTTGAATATTCCAAGTTGTAGTGATTATTATGAAAATTGAACCTGCATTAAGAGACCATTTCCATTGAGAGAACATTTTCCTGGCTTCCATAGGATGTTCTCTTTATATAGATTTTACTGTAGTTTATACCATTGTCAATTTGTGTATTTCTAATTGGGATATAATCACATGCCAGAGGTACTATTTCTAACTTAGGAAATGATTACAGCCAAGAGATATATAGGTTTGCCTGTAGTTCAATCCAGGATTTATATTTGTATTTCTAACTTAGGAAATGATTACAGCTAAGAGATATAGGTTTGCCTGTAGTTCATTCCAGGATTTATATTTGTCTTTCTAACTTAGTAAATGATTACAGCCACGAGATATAGGTTTGCCTGTAGTTCATTCCAGGATTTATATTTGTATTTCTAACTTAGGAAATGATTACAGCCAAGAGATATAGATTTGCCTGTAGTTCATTCCAGGATTTATATTTGTCTTTCTAACTTAGGAAATGATTACAGCCAAGAGATATAGGTTTTCCTGTAGTTCATTCCAGGATTTATATTTGTATTTCTAACTTAGGAAATGATTACAGCCAAGAGATATAGATTTGCCTGTAGTTCATTCCAGGATTTATATTTGTATTTTTAACTTAGGAAATGATTACAGCCAAGATATACAGTTTTGCATGTAGTTCATTCCAGGATTTATATTTGTATTCCTTGCTGAGGTTATAATTACAGTCAAGAGATACAGCTAGGTTTAACTATAGTTCATTCCAGGATTTACATTTGTATTTCTCACTTAGGAAATGATTACAGCCAAGATATACAGGTTTGCCTGTAGTTCCAGGATTTATATTTGTATTTCTAACTTAGGAAATGATTACAGCCAAGATATACAGGTTTGCCTGTAGTTCATTCCAGGATTTATATTTGTATTTCTTGTTGAGGTTATAATTACAGTCAAGAGATACAGGTTTGCCTATAGATCATTCCAGGATTTATATTTGTATTTCTAACTACGGAAATGATTACAGCCAAGAGATACAGGTTTAACTATAGTTCATTCCAGGATTCATATCTGTATTTCTAACTGAGGATATTACAGTTAGCTGGTTGCATTTAAGTACATATGTATTGAGTATGAATAAAATAATAACACATTAATGATACAGAGTACAATGTTTTGTCTCATGTGATAGGTGCTCCTGTACTGAGATAAAACACCGATCACACAGGGACAAAGGAGCCGTCATATTGATGAATTCACCAATAGTACCCGGATCTAACAATGGTAAGAAAACTGCGCACAATAACTGGATATGCGTGTCATTTATATTGTTTTATCACTTAAAAGCGATAATTCACATTTTGGTCCATAAATGGCCAGGTCTAAATCGTATATACAGACCAGAAGCATGGGACAATCATGACGATGGAGACAAGTTTATCTTGGTCATGATCAAACTCTGGCTCTATATATCTATACCAAATTAAACCATATTTGTCTAGCTGTTGCAACTATGAACATATTTTAGTTAATGAAGAATTTGTTTTAACCTTTTAACGACCCCTAGTTTTACTATAGTAGAATGTAAAAGCAGGTAACATCGATCACGTGTCAAATACACTCTAAAAAGGTCAGTCTGATTACAGCTTTGTGCATAGGATATATACGTTCTAAACGTGTTGTAATAAGTCAAAACGTTGAGTGCTTCACTCTTTGAGAACACCCACTTGTTTATTAAGGTAACAATTACATACAGAAATTAAAAAATAAATTGAATGACACAATTTGTTATATAGTAAAATGATTTTATAGATTTCATATAGCATCTATAGTTTTATTTGAAAATGCGGAACCCTCCTGTGGTATTATTACCTAGCCCTTACTAATTTATCGTTTTAAAAGATAATTACGATCTGACTTAAAATATTGTGTTATTGCAGCCGCCATATCAGCCATGGCTGCAGCTACGACCCAGCTAAAGCATGACGGGATATACTATTATAGTGCAGACCTTAATAAAGCTACCGATCAATCCAATGTCGCCCCAGATAGTCTTAAAAGCACGAAGGATGAAGATACATATTATTATGGCGGTCTACAAGGTGCGCCTCCTCCTTCTAATGCAGAAAAAAATCCTCCGAAAACTTCGGAAAATGATACTTACTACGATGATGGCGAAGTTGGAGCAGCTGTTACTATAGACGCAGCTAGGTCAGACATAAGACCATCGCCGTCAAAAACTGGTGCCTATCAGAACGTTTCGTCATTGGCAGCAAAGAGTACTTTTAACACACCTGCCCCGAAGACCAGTCACCCGCCCTTGCCTGTCCCCCCGGTGCCTCCTGTACCGATGCCACCTCGAGCGGTCCTTCCAAAAGCTACGCCCGTTCAAAACATTCCTAAATCCACTGCGAAAGGTCAAAGAAAAGACGAAGCCGAGACGTCGTTCGGGTCGATGCCGACCTACGGCAACACTGGGAGACACTTGCCATCGCAAAACCCCGATACTAATTACGAATCCCTAGATAATGATACCAGAGACACCTCCGGTGTGTACGCGGAATTAACTTAAGAGGAATTATATCAACAGGGACCAATAAATAGGCATTGGCGAAAATGTTGGTGTGCGAGGCCAGCTTAATGTAGTATCGATTGATGCACACTTTTCTTAATCCCCTATTATTACATTTTCAATGTACACAATAGAAATTCTTCATTGTTTTAGTTTGTTCCTTGCGTGTAACGACATGTAGAGTATAATGTTTTAATATAAATAAAGTAAACTATTTAACTATAAAAAAATATATGTTGTGGGTCACGTTCTGTCCGATTATTTTGCATGCCAGGATGTCTAAAAGCTTAAGCACTCCGTGACTGCTTTTCATGTATGACAATGCAAGGGGTACCTTCATGAATGCGTTTCATGTATGACACTACAAGCGGTACCTTTACGCCTGCTTTTCATGTATGACAATACAAGCGATACCTTCATGCCTGCTTTTCATGTATAACACTACAAGCAATACCTTCATGACTATGTTCATGTATGACAATACAAGCAATACCTTTACGCCTGCTTTTCATGTATGACACTACAAACGGTACCTTCATGAATGCGTTTCATGTATAACAATACAAGCAGTACCTTTACGCCTGCTTTTCATGTATGACAATACAAGCGATACCTTCATGCCTGCTTTTCATGTACGACACTACAAGCAATACCTTCATGACTATGTTCATGTATGACAATACAAGCGATACCTTCACGACTGCTTTTCATTATGACAATACAAGCGATACCTTCACGACTGTTTTCATGTATGACAGTTCAAGCAGTACATTCACGATTGCTTTTCATGTATGACAGTACAAGCGGTACCTTCACGACTGCTTACGTGTATGACAATACAAGCCGTACCTTCATGATTGCTATTCATGTCTATTTTCATGTATGAAAATTCAAGCGGTACCTTCACGACCGCTTTTCATGTATGACAATACAAGCGGTACCCTCACGACTGCTTTTCATGTATGACACAACAAAGGGTACCTTCATGACTATTTTCATGAATGACAATTCAACCGATACCTTCACGACTGCTTTTCATGTATTACAATACAAGCGGTACCTTCACGACTGCTTTTCATGTATGACAATACAAGCGGTACCTTCATAACTATTTCCATGTATGACAATACAAGCGGTACCTTCACGTCTGCTTTGCATATATGACAATACAAGCGATATCTACACGACTGCTTTTCATGTATGACAATACAAGCGGTATCTTCACCACTGTTTTTATGTATGACAGTACAAGGGTACCATTGCGACTATTTAAATCAAAATAACTTACAAATTGACGAGCATAGAGATATATGAAGAATGCTTCTTTGTTTCGCAGTGGTTGTCTTTCAAAGTGTCGAGTACAATGTAAACCAGTACAAGAAGACGGTGACATCATAAGGGTCTGTAATTATTTCAATTTTTGATACATGTATATATCATTACACAGCTAACATAACATCTGTATTTGACTTCTGAAAGGATGAAATATAGGATCTGCATAAATACATACAGTTTCACCGCTGCTTAGCGTGAAACTTCTGTAAACTAATGGTATGCACGAACTTCGCGGTTTTTGTTCTAACATGGACGTTTTTATAAATAATCCAGGACAAAGTTCAGTTAGCTTCATATCAGGACTGAACCAAGCGTTTCTGTGAGGAGACATTATTTCGTTTTAACAGACATTTTTCAGTTTTCTTTGTGTTATTTTGGAGCTGCATTGACAACGAATCAATCTGCAATTATGAATACACAATCATGGAGGCCGATGAGGCCGAGATTAAGGAGGGCATATTTAAGGAGGGTTGTGTAATTCACGAAATTGTGATTACAATGGATCAGCAGTTATTGCCAATACAAACGGGGAAAGATATATATTCCACTCTACAACATATACATAGTAATATAGACAGTCATGTACTACAACCGAATCGTTCGTCCAACAGTCAGGACATTATCTATTGTTCAAAATTCTTTGGAATGAATCCCGAATCTGAAATGATGAAAACATTGGCATCTCCAAAGATTACATGGCATCATCATCGGCATTCATAGCTGAACATATTCTCGTAGCTTACAAAACACAGATGTTGACAAAAGAGATAAAGTTTTCTGGTAGAAGAATTTAAAGTTTCAGCTACTCAACGATACTATGTTTTTAAAACAAAATGACTTTTGGATCCCCTCCGGTCGCTGATGATAAGCACCGATGAATAAAACAACAAGAGAATACCGGAGTTCGAACTTTAAATCGACAAAGCCAGGGCAAAATATGAACAAAGGAAAGATTTACATCGTTACCTTTGATACCTTTGAAAAACACAAGGATATTAAAACCAGGTGTTCATGAAGGGTAAGCGTCTTCTGCACCATCTCATCGATGACACCCGCCATGTAAATATAAGTTGAATCCGCAGCAGCGAGAACCCTTGTAATGACAAACAAGAGACCCATGGGCCTAAACGGTCATCTGACTACAAAGACTGAACAGGGAGAATGGTAACTTTTCAACTTTCAATGAAATATTCTAAGAATTTGTTTTCCATGATGGTAGTTTTGGTCAGCAGTGGGTAACTATATGTCAGTGAAGCATTTAAACGTAAATCTGAATAGATTTCTCATTTTAAGGCCCCGTCCCGCTGTCAACGGTGGTTAAACCTGCCTCATTTATATAAGAATTTTGTTTCTAAATGATGTTTTAAAGCAAATGTATAGCTAAGTTCCAAGTTCCACTTTCAAGGCCCCGAAACATCCCCGCCAATTTTTAGCTCAATGGCACCAGTGGAACAGGAGAAGTTTAAAACGTGTTTTTTAAGATGGCGGCCATCTTGGATTTTGGACCGACCCGAAAAATAACAACACTTGGTCAGGACCATCTCAGGATCATTTCATACAAGTTTCAGCTCAATCCCACTGGTGGAACTTGAGAAGAAGTTTAAAATAGGTGTTGATTAGGAAAACCATGATTGCGCAATCATGTTACAAAATGACTGCCATGTTGAAGTTTTGACGGGGCTAAAAAATAACATCACTTTGTCGGCTTCCTTTCCTAAACATCCCCACCAATGTTTAGCTCAAACGCACCAGTGGAACTGGAGAAGAAGTTTAAAATGGTTTTTTTTAAGATGGCTGCCATCTTGGATTTTGGACAGACCCGAAAAAAAAAACAATTCGGGTCAGCTGAACTAAAAACCACAAGGCACATCGACCTTCATATCACATTTGGTTACGATCACCAACATTATAACTATTCGTTTCATACACATACAATAACAGTTTTCTCTTTAATTTGAGGATTGGAACCATGTGATTGAACTATGAGATGAAGAAGAACTCGAGTAACTTATGTAGAAGGCCTAAATCGTGATAAGAGCGACTTACAAATAATGTATTCATCAAATAGAAAAAGACAACTCGATATCCTACGTTGATCACATGAAAGTAACGATTACCTTAGTTTGCTATTACAGTCGGTGGGGGAGAATCATAATAAAGAATGAGAATGAGAATCATAATCTTTATACAATTTGAAGATTTACTAACTCGAGTTAGATAAACATGATCACCAATCATCACTCGTTGGGGAACCTCTGTTTATTCTGTAACAGATCAGGCCTGTTTTCTAAAATCAATTTCTGTGTCGTAATAGTAAATGATGAGGTTATCAATATAGGGAGATAGCCTTGCGATAACTATATAAAACAGGGATGAAACATTAAGGTCAGTCATTTTCCAAGATCTTGGAGTAGCCATGCTAACATGTAAGGTGTGAAACGTTAAGCAGGTCAACTGAGTGAGGTTTAAAAGGAAAACAAACTTGTCAGGTACATTAAAGAATTTATTGAAGCAGAGAAAGGTACATAAAACAGGTATACCCATGTATAATCATATATAACTTAATATTCTCCACAATTAAAACATACAACGGAAACATGTCTATATTTGTACACCTTTCCTTTAAGCAGTTCCACAGGGTATTCTCTAACAAATATTCTATAACAGTCTTTCAAATGTTTTAAAATTTTAGAAAAAAAAAATTCTTTGAGAAAATTTGTTGAAAAATGTTCAACTTTTGTGAATGTATAAGTGTAAATCGATTTATAAAATAAACTGCTACTGTACGGGTAGAATATATATATAGAATTCAAGAAAACTTTGATGTGACAGCTTGTTTTGAAAAAAATAATCGTAAAAAGTGACAGTTGTAAAAACTCATATTTTAGTTTTTGTTATTTATAAAAAAACAAACCTAGTATTGAATGAAATCAAAGATTATTAAAATTTTACTTATCAATTTTTCATATCATGCATAAATCATATTAGAAATACTTCATTATCATACTTTGCTCGATAAAAAGCAGTATGGTGAATTGTATATCTGGATGTCCTTGAGCATCTATGAGGAAAAAATCCTAGTCACTAGCAGAAATCGTTCCTCAACATTTCCTGTGACTCCTATCCAATAGTTTTACTTTTTTCTATTACAATTCAGTGTTAAATTGACTTGCTTTATGTCTAGTTCACAGTCTGGAACACTGTTGTCCTCACACATTACACCATTATGGGTTTGTTACTGCCTACATGTTGGTACTCTGTGTTGTACATCTTAGGAGCTGTCATAGCAGACTTAGATCCAGGAGCTGCAAACAAAATAACAGAAGTTCTACATACATGTATAAATAGTTCAAACAGTCAGGCACATTTTATTCCACATCATATTTCCTCTCAGTTTTGAATTTCCACATCAAATTATCATAGCAACTCAGCTGAATAGGTCTAAAATTATTAAATATTAGGACTGACTATATGAAATAAATACAAACATCTTAAAAAAGACAATTAAAAAAAATAAAAAAATATATATATATTTATATATTGTGTAATTTTTCCGTATGGTCAATAGAATATGTAAACCAACATGATCAAATGCAAACCAAAATATTGTCCTGATCATTATTAGGAAAAATACTCAAAAAATAACTAAACGAATGAATCAAAACATTGTATATACATAATCTCAAAACATTCACCATCATTTATGTCATGTTTACAAAGTATGTTTTATGACAGCAGACTCAATTTCTAACATTCAGTCATAACATGGAGTTAACATACAAACTGAATCATTCACAGATCATTGAATGATCAATTTTCTAATGAGGATTCCTGGTTTCCTGCTAGGGAACCATTTTAATTTGATATATCCTATTCTTTATCATAAACAATGTTCGTAATAAACTTACGAGGTAGCGTCCATGGGGTGTCCACTGGGCAAAATTGATTTTCTTTAGCCTTCACATCTGAGGGCTGCATGAATGATTCGGTGTAAAGAGTTTTGAGTCCAGCATGAGGTACTGGAATCATTGGCTTTGGGGCACGGGGAACCTTAGTCCTGCTTTTAAACCAGATGGGGTCTACCATGGGCAATGGTTCTCTTGGGACTGTGTCTTTTGGGATGGGACTGGAAAGGAAGGAAAGAAGAATGAAAAATTAATAAACAAACATAGCATCTATGCACATTTGTATTACATAAACCGTATGTAATGATAATGTTTTATTTCATCATCTTGTTTTTTTTAGGGAATATGTTCATCAAGTTTTAAGCATAATCTTATGAAATACATTTCGAAACAAATGTGATAACGTAAAATGATAACAATATAATGTCAAAGATTTACATGTTTTATTATGGCTGTCACAATAGAGACCATAAAAAAGGTGGGAGGACAGAATCTAATAGTCAAGGATGACCTGAGAAAATTACCTACATCTAACAGTTCTATAATAGTGATATAATTATGATATTTTACACCATTACTTTATTAAAGGATATTAGCGTTGCTTAAGTCCATCTGATCAAATAAACGGAGTACATATATTCTGTACCCATCTAGCAAATATGACATGTTCAGTTTTCATTACAAGTTTGTTTTATAACTCTACAAAGTCCTTACTTGTGTTTCTGGCCGTGACCCCAGGCCTTAGGGTATTCCTCACACTCCCAGTAAGTAGCAATGTCCTTTTTAGGGTATTGTTTGAGCTCGTTGCCAGTAAATGACCGGTGGTCTTTTTGTGTTGTGGACAGGTAAGGGTCCAGTTGTCGGAGTATACCTTTGTCTCTCACATAGAATGGATTTCCCTGTAGTTTGGGATTCTGTGTTGTAGCTTGGCCATACTGAGAAAGAGTAACACACACTCCATTTAATCAGGTTTAGTGATTATAATGACACAGACCTAGTCTCGTGATCATGAAACAGTCTTAGTCTTAGTCTAGATTATAAACACAAATTACAATGGTTAATATAAATGTTAGAATAACATCCCTTTGACAGGTAAGCTAACATATATCTTTAAGTCAAATTGAATTCCCTTCTGATTAAAAAACTAGAAAATGACAATTTGCTCTTTATGATGATATACAAATTTATTTATCAATTAAATTGCATGTATTTAAGATAATTTGGCTACTGATTAGTGATAAAAAGAAGGGAAACAAACAACTTGTATGGCTTGTTATAGCTTTTATGTTCCAAATACCGTATTTTTATAAATTTGTGTTATACACACCTTTGAGGGGCCCTCCCGGTGATGATCATTGAGGCTGTATGATTGTGGAAGGTTCAACCCAGCCGTGTCATCAAAGTGGTACTTGTCTCTGATGCCGGGGGGAGCAGAGTAACATTCCTTTGTTTCTGATCTCTGATTTCCCATAGTCAGAGGTTTTCTCCATCCTCCTTTGCCAAGCTACCAAAACATAAACATCAATAGTTACAATACAGAAAAAAATACAAGTCAAATCTAGCTGTGATGCTAAGTGACAATTACATTGGTTGTGTATTTCAAAAATAGTTTATCTTTTAATTGTTCTTATATAGCGAAGATTCATATGAATCAAAACGAAGTGGGGTCATCTCAAAGCAAGTGACATTACCAAAATCACACTATATAAATTAGAATAATTAAGTGAAAATATTTAGTGAAAAATGTTATAAAATAACATGATAATAAGTGTACTATGTACATCAATATCTTAGAACTCATTTCAACTTGAACACAACTATTGACTACTTACTTTTCCTGATATTAAGTTAATTTATAAAACCTTTAAGCTGTTAAATTATAAACTTAGACCAAAAGAAGCTAAAATAATACACATGTTTAAACTGGTCCCAAACATGCATTATTCTTGATATTATATTTGGGTATAATTAAACTGTGTATCTTTCACCTGGAAAAGTCCACTGACTGTTTTGTCTTTTTGTATAGTTTGATGATATGGGGACAGTGAGAATGCATTAAGAGTAACGTGTAATCACATAATATTAAAAGTTCTGGGTACTGTTGGACAGAGATGTTTGAAATTACAGAATGGTGTAGGGTAGTGTGGGTTGATGTATGTGATACCGAGTAGTATAAGATTATATGGTAATATCATAGTGTATGGGTTATAAAGGATAGTATTGGAGAGTGTACTATATTGTGGGTTCTGAGGGGTGTACAATTCCACTAGCCAGACATCCAAACCTAGTTATGTTGAGGCTAGTGAAGATATTGTAATATGTTCCAAGAAGATATAGGTTGGGCCGGGTAGTAGAATTTTTCAAACTTTGTCTGCAAGCTAGCTAGAAATTGTACACCCCTGGTGATGTGTTGTGTGATAGTTACAATGTAGGATATTGGGTTATAAATAAAATTGTTTAAAAATTACCTTTTCTGCTAAGTCCTTAACATAATCAACTTTCCAGTGACCAGGTGGTTTCTTGTATAAAGGGTTCTGGTAAGGGCTGCCCTTAATGTATTTACTATCATGTGTTTTTCCTGTTGTGGTTTCAAAGTGCTGGTCACGTGTTAACTCGTCCTGCTTGGCCAGACCAGGGGGCAGTGGTTGATACAATTCTGTCTGAAATCATAAACATGGGTAAGATAAATATGTATCAATATACGAAGTCAAATGCATTCTGCAGATATGTCACATGTGAAATGATAAACATCTAATAATACCTGTAATAACTATAATCAGTCATTTATAATGCATATATATGCACAAGGAGAATCAGTCATTTATATTTGCATAATTATGCACAAGGAGAATCAGTCATTTATAATGCATATATATGCACAAGGAGATTGATTTATTGAATAACGAGTAACCAGAAAATACTGCCCAGTAAATATGAAATACAGGGATAATTTACACTTTACACCCCTCAGAAAACACCATTTGTTCCCTTAGCGGCGTCGTAATAAAAGCTCACAGAGCTTATGTTTGTTGTTGACAATTGTACACGACATTAAATAAAGATTATTATTATTATTATTATTATTGCTTTTAAAACAATGAATAACGGTATCTCGGAACGGCTATCCTTTAAATCAACCATTGGCATTGACTTAAGGCCATAATCATTATAGTATATCGATGGAGCCCCTGTACTTAAATTGTATCTGTCGAAAAGCTTTTCTCTTTTCATCTAAACCCTCATCTGACATTAATATTACCCTGTAGACGTAGAACTATCAAGATAACATCCAAAATTATACCAATAACCAATGTCATGAAGACCCGACTAATGTTTGTTATTTATTTTTAAAGGTACAGGATATTAGTCAGTCGAATGATGTCAAGCAAAAAAAAAGGTGTTCAAACAATAAAAATATTACACTTAACGACAAGTATGGTTAGTTTAACATTTTCTTTACCTGGAAATCCGAGCTCGGAAAGTAGTATCCCGGTCTGTAATGATGTCCAACACCAGTTGATGTCATCTGCCAATCCTGGCGATGTTCACCGTTTACTTCTTTAAAACTCATGTTTTTTTCACGTTTATTACTTTTTATGGATATATTTTACGATTTTAAGATTATGTACGAACTATAAAAGGGCTAATCCCCTATAAACCCGCCACATGAAAGACATGAAAACATAAAAACCACTCTTCTTACATGCTCAGCAGTCCGACATAGCTTCCCACTGTGTACATGTAACCATGTAAACCGCAGTGTGTTATGGGAAAAAGGAACGGGAGACAACCCCTGTAAATCAATTGTTAAATTATACAGGTGGCACGTCACAAACATTTTACCAGGATTTTACTTGAATCTGTGTCTTTCTAAACCTTCAGTCTTCTTTGTGACATGTAGGATTTACATCAATGCAAAAGTAGAAGTAAAACTATTCAGATAGCATCCAAAATTCTACCAATAACCAATGGCATGAAGACCCGACTGATGTTTGTTATTTATTTTTAAAAGATGGCAAGCAAAGAAAAAACAGTGTTCAAACAACTTATGATAAAAACATAACACACAACGACAATTATTGTCCGTTAACATTTTCCTTACCTGGAATTCCAAGGTGTGCTTGATTTGATTTTGCATACATTAATAATGCCGGATATTTAATTTGTTATTACTAACAAACGGACCGTGGCTAGTACTCCGTGTCAAAGCGCATTATTCTTCTTAGTAAAGGACTCGGTAAACATTTTTCAACAATTCGTGGTGTACTTTAAACACGCTTGTGACTATTAAGTCACCTCATGCTCATGCAATGATTATTGGTTGAGTAAAACAAGACTTTAATATGTACCGCCTAGTACAGCTCGGTTCCAGGGGGAAATCGCACTTGCGTTTATTTACCTGCTAAAATCACGGTCTTATTCTAATTCCGTGCTAAAATGTTTTCCTGAGCTTGGATTCATAATCAAAATACCGATTTTGATTTTATAAAAGGGCAATGATGTGCGTGATTGCATACTTGCCAACTCTCCTTTACAGGGAGACCCCCGATCGCGATTTGGACCCTAACAGTGAGCATTTTCAACCAGTGAATATATGCTAAACTATTTCTTATTTCTAATTTCTGATAAATTCATCTGAAAGAGAAACTCAAAAGATGCCTTTACAAGTGACATTTTCCTTCTAGGGTGTATATACAAACATTTAATTTATGCTTTTAGTTTAGGGCATGCGTTATCTCCGCTACAGAAATTTAAAAACAAAGTAGACCTTTATGCGTTTTTCAAATATATTACAATTATTATCTGGAATATGTTTGAACGATTATTGCTCGTGGTGGGTTAATGATTTCTTATCATCGTACTTGTAGATCTGGTAAGTTCTAGATTCTAAGTGAAAATATCGACTTCTTATTTGTAAGAATGTACGTGCCATTGTTAGAGTTCTGCGTGACAATGACATAAATCATATATCAAGTATGAACTGTTGCTAATGATAGCACGGAATTCTAAGTCCGTGATGATAGCGAGTCAGAAAACTTTAAATGTAGAAGCTGTGGTAAATTGATGCAAAATCAATAAAAATGTATCCGAGTCAGAGGAATTATTTTACGTTTTACATTTAATTTGTTTTATATTATATTGTTGCAATTATCATTTGTTCTTAAATCAGTTACTGCACCACAACCTGTTATAAACAAGACCACGCTGTTTCGATCGTAAAGGCAGTATACGCAGCTGTCACCCAAACCTAATAAACCGATTCAGGTTGGTCAATAGTGATTTTCGTAAAAAAAAAAATGCAGGCGAGTCCCAAACATTTTTTCTTCTTCAAAATTTTGACGAGTCCAATACTAGGAGTTATACGTTAGTGGGCCATGAAAACACACTCACTAGAAAAAACACGAGTCTAGAACTGTTGCAGTCATGTTTACACAGAAATGGATAGGAACAGTGGAACAGATTGAACTGGCGCTTTCTGTTTTAGGTTCCGTCCATGTATTTAAATATAATTGAGACTTGCGCACCAGTGTATGTGGGTTCTACATGTAAATGTCTCTGACATAAAGCATCAATCACTTTGACTTAAGGAACTATTCAAACCTTATGTCGAACATCTACATATAACAGAACATTGACAGAAAATTGTCACGTAAAATTTCAGACAATTTAGATCTCTGGATTCTGATATAACCTCCGACAACATAATAAGTACAGACGGCTATATGGATACCGTGATTATTAACTCTGATGCACGGGATTAATTAGTTACCTGTCTACAATTTTTAAGCCCCCTCCCCCCCCCCCCTCCCCCATGTGGGCACGTGACAGTTTTTTCTGTGTTTGTTAAAAAAACACCTTCCTTTACCATATCATTGCAATATATCTGCCGATTTTGTCACTGTACGTACAATCATAAGTAACATTTCAGTGCAGTTTGACTGTACAATCGGCGTACGTCGAATGGCTGAGTGACAAAGTGGAACAAAATCTGTGTGGGTCGAAAGACTGACACAGTTATATCAAATGAAAGTGAAAAGAAACAACACATATATAATGCACTTAGCTTAAAATGTTTACTTCTTTTTATTATGATAATTATCTCATTACCAGTTGTAAATTTAAAATGAAGTTGATCACAAATTGGAATATTGCACAATACATCATTTTTCGTACACATGCACTCTTACACAATACATCGGACATTACGTATGACACAAACACGATTGATATAACATGAGAACAGATGAAATCGCCCACAATCTTTCCATGGTTAATTCAACAACTATTGTAAAACATTATTGTATTGTTGTTGAATGCCATGGCTGCGTTGACATATGCTTATACGTGTAGCAACTATGGACATGTCAGAAACCCATGAGTAACCCGATTGTAGTTTTCAACCCACAAACAGCTAGCTGCAACCCATATGTGACTAGCTAGTACATCATTTGTGACTAGCCATCAACCATGGGTTAGCAATACATGCCGATGTCTTACAGCAAATTACTAGGGCCAAATTTTCTGCATACATTTATAGTCCACTAGGACATGAAGAGCTGCAAATCTATGAGGAGTCTAAGTATCCATAGACTCCTACTAAGTACTATCAACTGGAAAGTAAACTTTAACATTCTGATGGGTATCGTGGAAGATCACGCCAGTCATTCATAAAAACTATTTAAAGCACGCTGCATAATATTGGATTCACATTCAGAGTGGGTCAAAGTCATTCAAAAATAAGCTGCATGAAATCAATAATGAAAACAAAATAGTTTGTATTTCTTGAACCCGATGTCCAAACCACACTCAACGACCTGCAGAGAAGTATGTAGTTGTTCCTGCGGACAAAGCATCTAATAATTTAGCGCAGACATCTATCTGTCAAAATGTCCAAGTCTGGTGTCAGGACCAGAGGAAACTCGGGCTACTAATAATTTAATCTTTGACTGCAGACACTATTACATTACCTACTTGGAAAAAGGATTAGGATTGCTTGATAGCCAAGAAAACATCACCTATACATTTTCCAAGTATTCGAAATACGACAAACTAGCTAATCATGCTTCTGTATTTACTATTACAACTACAATTTACTTTCCTCGTTTTTACTTGATTCCAAAAACTTCACATGAATCCCCATTAACAGTATTTTACCGAGGACTCTTTAGGGTTACAGTCGCATTGTGACACTGCATACTCCGGAAGTGAAATTAATGGAATGTGGATTTTGCAAATACAAAAGATCTTTAGGTCAATCTTGAACACTCTTTCCTCAAAAGTTCGTCTGTTTACACTGCCACACCTCATATCAAACTGAAAGAAAACATATGCTATTATGAGAGCTTTCCTTCAAAAGCCACAATAAACTTGCTGAGTTCCTTAAGCTTGTTGACAATATTTTTGGTGAGTTCATCATCAGTGGCGAGATTTCCCAGCAGTCTTTAAGCATTCCTATGGGAACATGCTTTGCACCTTAGCTTGCCAACTTGTTTTTGTTTTCATACGAGGCTGAACGTATGAAACAAAATAAAATTAAAAATAAATCTTCATGTACAATTTAAAATGCTATCTGAGCAAACTAATAATATAACTTACGACAGCCTACTGGAAGGTACAACATCACAAAATATATTTCAAATGCTGTCATACTCAAGAGATGAAATTTTGGAAACAGTGTTGGTGGAATATTGGGTAAAGTAGAACCTCAATCTTAACCACCTTTGTTCTCAGTGGATAATGCAGACACCTTCATTTCCAGATGATAATTATCCACTTTAATTTTTAAGTAGATCATTATGCAACCTTTTTTTGTTTCAAGTAGATAATGAAACCACCTTCATTCACAGTAGATGATGCAGCCACTTAATTTTAAAAAGATAATTCAGACACCTTCGTTTTCAGTAGATAATCCTTTGTCACATTTTTTTCGAAGCAGACTATCAAATCACGTTTGTTCACAGTAGACAATTGAACAGCTTTGTTCCAGTAGATAACCAAGTCACCTTTGTACCCTGTAGATAATCAATTACTATGTAACTTAGTCAGCCACCTTTGTTCCCAGCAAAAGTGCCTGTAGAGTGAATAGTACTGGTAACTGTGATGATGTTGTTTAGAAAAATTGCCTTTCTTTCCTCTTAATCATACTAATTGGCTAGAAAGTGGACCCATTAGTCCCCTGGACAAATGGCTAGATAGTTGGCCAATCTATCCCCAGAAACACTGGCCGGAAAAACTGACCAATCTGTCTCCTTCAACACCGACTGGGTAGTTCATCGTGGACTCATCACCTTGGCATGCCTATTAAAAAAGCAAAATGACTAACTTACTTTGAAAGCTGAATTAAACATATATCATATACATGTAGTAATAAGGATGGCACGTACAATGTAAACAAGAGGCCCAATGGCCTTAACTGTCAAATGAGTATGAATACAATTGTTACTTGTGATGTGACAAAGAATAAAAGTACATATGACCAAAGTCGTTCTTGAGACACTGGATTGGTTTTTAACAACATTTATATAGAGCTAGCTAGTATATATCAGTTAAATGATAAAATCATACTGCAATGAAGTGCCCAATAAAAGGGAATGAGATAACCTGCAATCATATGATAGGAAAATATTCCCTATATAAGCCATAGCTAACAATACACCTTGCCCAAGGGGAAAGGGGGAAGAATGGGTGACCTGAGGGTAATGAAATTAACAATTTTGACAAAGCACGTTTTGCACCTTTCCATCCAAAACAAGAGTTCCGCGAAGCGGTACATGATACGCCCGTCAGATGTCGAATGAGCAGTTTGCCAGAAAGAGCCATTGCGTAGAAATTGTGTTCCGACAATTCTACATAAGGTCGTAAGTCCGTAAATTACTGAAGTTTGAAATGAATCCATTCAAAATTGTTCAAGTTATTGAGCGGAAACTGTTAAGTCAATTCTATAAAGGGCCATAACTCCCTTAATAACAGGCGGATAATGGTTATCAAACTTGTGCAAGCTTCCACAAAAATAAACCTTCCAATGAAGTTTGAAATTAATCTATTAAAAATTACTGAAACTATTGAGCGGAAACTGTTTCGGCAATTCTACAAAGGGCCATTATTCCGTAAACAAGGGGCAAATAATATTGGTTATCGAACTTGTCTCAGCTTTCATGGCAATGAACCTTCCTACCTAGTTTGAAATGAATCCATTCAAAATTACCCAAGGTATTGAGCGGAAACTAATATGTGCCCGCCCGAACGAGTGAAAACATAATACGTCCAATCATTCGACGGGCATATAAAAAGGAATTTATTCTAGCATATGTGGGTCTCCGGAAGAAGATTGTTGAAGGTTTAGCCAATTTGACCCCTTTTGACACTGCTATTCAGGTACCTGGAGGATCAAACCCATATTGAGTATTAATTCTGATCCCGATATCAGGTTGATTACAACCAAGTTTCATCAAAATCTGAGAGATACATAACGTGCATGTAGTGTCTGAGGAGAAGTCAGAAATATGATTGTTTCTGGTTATGCAATAAGTGACCCCCTATGGACCCCTTCTTGACTCTCCTTGAGTATAAATTCTGAACCTCATTATTTATTATTATATGTACATGTGACTTTGGTGAAAATCCACTTGTAAGTTCCACAGAAGTTTGTGAAGGTTTTGCACTCTGTGACCCCTTATGGCCCGACCTCTCAGCTTCTAGGAGGTCATGAACAGCCTCATTTTGCTGTATGTTTGGCAACTTCAAAATCTTTCCCCTCAGGGTAGAGATTCCCAATATCACCTCAAAGGGGTGTGTAACTTTAACTTTAAGTTTCATCAAAATCTATTTGATTGTTTCTGAGAAGTTGAAATTGTGATTGTTTACACATGAAGGATAACGGTCGAGATACGACGACGGACAAAAGGCAATCACAACAGGTCAACAGAGTGACTCAGGTGACTTGAAAAAGGAAATCTTCAGTACAGAAAATGAGCTCCATAGTTAGGCCGTGGAATATACAGCAAATGGCATGGAATAAACAGTATAGGTCATGGAATCTACAGCAAAGGGCAGGAAATCTACAGTATAGGGCATGTAAGCTACAGCGAAGGGCATGGAATCTAGGGCAAAGGGCACGGAATCTACATCAAAGGGCATGGTTTCTACAGCAAAGGGCATGGGATCTACATTCAAGGACATGGAATCTACAGTAAAGGGCATGGTATTTACAGCAAAGGCCATGGAATCAACAGCAAAGGGTATGGAATCAACAGCAAAGGGCAGGAAATCTTCAGTAAAAGGCATGGAATCAACAGCAAAGGGCATGGAATCTACAGCAAGGGGCAGGAAAACTACAGCAAAGAGCATGGAATCAACAGCAAAGGGCATGGAATCAACAGCAAAGGGCATGGAATCTACAGCAAAAGGCATGGCATCTACAGTAATGTGCATGAAATCTACAGCAAAGGGCATGGCATCTACAGCAAAGGGCGGGAAATCTACAGAAAAGGGCAGAAAATCTACAGCAAAGGGCAGGAAATCTACAGCGAAGGGCAGGAAATCTACAGCAAAGGGCATGGAATCTACAGCAAAGGTAATGGAATATACAGTATAGTGCATGGAATATACAGCAAAGGGCAGGAAATGTATAGTATAGGGCATGGAATCTACAGCAAAGTGCATGCAATCTAGAGCAAAGGGCATGGCATCTACAGTATAGGGCATGCAATCTACAGCAAAGGGCATGGAAGCTACAGCAAAGGGCATGGAATCTTCATCAAAGGGCATGGTATCTACAGCAAATGACATGAAATCTACAGCAAAGAGCATGGTATCTACAGCAAAGGCCATGGAATCAACAGCAAAGGGCATGGAATCTACAGCGAAGGGCATTGCATTTACAGCAAAAGGCATTGCATCTACAGTATAGTGAATAAAATCTACAGAAAAGGGCATGGCATCTACAGCAAAGGGCATGGAATCTACAGCAAAGGGAAGGAAATCTACAGAAAAGGGCACGGCATCTACAGCAAAGGGCATGGTTTTTCCAGTATAGGGTGTTGAATCTACAGTATAGTGCATGAAATGTACAGCAAAGGGCGTGGAATCTACAGCATAGGGAATGGAATCTACAGTGTAGGGAATGGAATCTACAGAATAGGGAATGGAAACTACAGTATAGGCAATAGAATCTACTCAAAAGCAAAGGGCATGGAATGTACAGCAAAAGGCATGGCATCTACAGTATAGTGAATAAAATCTACAGAAAAGGGAATGGCATCTACAGCAAAGGACAGGGAATCTATAGCAAAAGGGCAGGAAATCTCCAGTTAGGGCATGAAATCTACAGCAAAGAGCATGAAATCTACAGCAAAAGGCATGGCATCTACAGTATAGTGAATAAAATGTACAGAAAAGGGCATGGCATCTACAGTATAGTGAATAAAATGTACAGAAAAGGGCATGGCATCTACAGGAAAGGGCATGGAATCTACAGCGAAGGGCATTGCATTTACAGCAAAAGGCATTGCATCTACAGGATAGTGAATAAAATCTACAGAAAAGGGCATTGAATCTACAGCAAAGAGAATAAAATCTACAGCAAAGGGCAGGGAATCTACAGTATAGGGCCTGTTATCAACAGCACGTATACGGCATGAAATCTACAAAATCTACAGTATAGGGCAGGAAATCTACAGCAAAGGGCGTGGTATCTTCAGCATAGGGAATGGAATCTACAAGATAAGCTTGTAGTCAAGAAAACACAATATGCACGGAAATCTACAGCGAAGGGCAGAAAATCTTCAGCAAAGGGCATGGAATCTGCAGGAAAGGGCATGGAATCTACATCAAAGGGCATGGTATCTACAGCAAAGGCCATGGAATCAACAGCAAAGGGCAGGAAATTTATAGTATAGTGCATGGAATCTACAGCAAAAGGCATGGCATCTACAGTATAGTGAATAAAATGTACAGAAAAGGGCATGGCATCTACAGTATAGTGAATAAAATCTACAGAAAAGGGAATGGCATCTACAGCAAAGGACGTGGAATCTATAGCAAAAGGGCAGGAAATCTCCAGTTAGGGCATGAAATCTACAGCAAATGGCAGTGCATCTACAGCAAAGGGCATGGACTCAATAGTATAGGGCATGGAATCTACAGGATAGGGCATGGAATCTACAGTATGGGGAATGGAATCAACAGTATAGGGTGTTGAATCTACAGTATAGGGAATTGAATCTACAGTATAGTGCATGGAATCTACAGCAAAAGGCATGGCATCTACAGCAAATGGCATGGAATAAGCAGTATAGGTCATGGAATCCACAGCAAAGGGCAGGAAATGTATAGTATAGGGCATGGAATCTACAGTATAGGGCATGGAATCTACAGTATAGGGAATGGAATCAACAGTATAGGGAATGGAATCTACAGTATAGGGAATGGAATCTACAGTATAGGCAATAGAATCTACAGTATAGGGCCTGTTATCAACAGTACGTATACGGCATTAAATCTACAGCAAAGGGCATGGAATCAATAGTATAGGGCATGGAATCTACAGTATAGGGAATGGAATATACAGTATAGTGCATGGAATGTACAGCAAAGGTAATGGAATATACAGTATAGTGCATGGAATGTACAGCAAAGGGCATGGAATCTGCAGAAAAGGGCATGGAATCTGCAGGAAAGGGCATGGAATCTACAGTATAGGGTATTGAATCAACAGTACGTATATGGCATGAAATCTACAGCAAAGGGCAGGAAATTTATAGTATAGGGCATGGAATCTACCGTATAGGGTATGGAATCAACAGTATAGGTTGTTCAATCTACAGTATAGGGAATGGAATATTACAGTATAGTGCACATGGAATCTATAGCAAAAGGGCAGGAAATCTACAGTTTAGGGCATGAAATCTACAGCAAAGGGCATGGCATCTACAGCAAAGGGCATGGAATCTGCAGAAAAGGGCATGGAATCTGCAGGAAAGGGCATGGAATCTACAGTATAGGGCATGGAATCTACAGTATAGGGCCTGTTATCAACAGTACGTATACAGCATGAAATCTACAGGCATGGAATCTACAGTATAGGGCAGGAAATCTACAGCAAAGGGCATGGAATGTACAGCAAAGGTAATGGAATATACAGTATAGTGCCTGTTATCAACAGTACGTATACGGCATGAAATCTACAGCAAAGGGCATGGAATCAATAGTATAGGGCATGGAATCTACAGTATAGGGAATGGAATATACAGTATAGTGCATGGAATAAAGGGCATGGTTTCTACAGTATAGGGTGTTGAATCTACAGTATAGTGCATGAAATCTACAGCAAAGGGCGTGGAATCTACAGCATAGGGATTGGAATCTACAGTATAGGGCCTGTTATCAACAGTACGTATACAGCATGAAATCTACAGCAAAGGGCTCTACAGTATAGGGAATGGAATATTACAGTATAGTGCACATGGAATCTATAGCAAAAGGGCAGGAAATCTACAGTTTAGGGCATGAAATCTACAGCAAAGGGCATGGCATCTACAGCAAAGGGCATGGAATCTACAGCAAAGGGCATGGAATCTACAGCAAAGGGCAGGAAATCTACAGCAAAGGGCATGGAATGTACAGCAAAGGTAATGGAATATACAGTATAGTGCCTGTTATCAACAGTACGTATACGGCATGAAATCTACAGCAAAGGGCATGGAATCAATAGTATAGGGCATGGAATCTACAGTATAGGGAATGGAATCAACAGTATAGGGAATGGAATCTACAGTATAGGGAATGTAATCTACAGTATAGGGAATGGAATCTACAGTATAGTGCATGGAATGTACAGCAAAGGGCAGGAAATTTATAGTATAGGGCATGGAATCTACCGTATAGGGTATGGAATCAACAGTACGTATATGGCATGAAATCTACAGCAAAGGGCAGGAAATTTATAGTATAGGGCATGGAATCTACCGTATAGGGTATGGAATCAACAGTATAGGTTGTTACAGTATAGTGAATGGAATCTACAGCAAAGGGCATGGTTTCTACAGAATAGGGTGTTGAATCTACAGTATAGTGCATGAAATCTACAGCAAAGGGCGTGGAATCTACAGCATAGGGATTGGAATCTACAGTATAGGGCCTGTTATCAACAGTACGTATACAGCATGAAATCTACAGGCATGGAATCTACAGTATAGGGCAGGAAATCTACAGCAAAGGGCATGGAATGTACAGCAAAGGTAATGGAATATACAGTATAGTGCCTGTTATCAACAGTACGTATACGGCATGAAATCTACAGCAAAGGGCATGGAATCTACAGTATAGGGTATGGAATCAACAGTATAGGTTGTTGAATCTACAGTATAGGGAATGGAATATTACAGTATAGTGCATGGAATGTGCAGCAAAGGGCATGGAATCTACAGTAAAGGGAATGGAATCTACAGTATAGGCAATAGAATCTACAGTATAGGGCCTGTTATCAACAGTACGTATACAGCATGAAATCTACAGCAAAGGGCATAAAATCTACAGTATAGGGAATGGAATATACAGTATAGTGCATGGAATGTACAGCAAAGGTAATGGAATATACAGTATAGTGCCTGTTATCAACAGTACGTATACGGCATGAAATCTACAGCAAAGGGCATGGAATCAATAGTATAGGGCATGGAATCTACAGTATAGGGAATGGAATCTACAGTATAGGGAATGGAATCTAAAGTATAGTGCATGAAATCTACAGCAAAGGGCATGGAATCTACAGTATAGGGCCTGTTATCAACAGTACGTATACGCCTTAAAATCTACAGCAAAGGGCATGGAATCTACAGTATATGGCAGTGAGTCTACAGTACATTGGGTGTTACACACTTATGTAATACACATGCGGCTAATTAAAGGTTCTCTGGTAAACCTACTTTGGGGCACACATGAGGGTTAGATTCTGTACTGCGGTCAGTGTTGACTGGACATTCTGACCAGTGATCAAGTGGCGGTCAATGATGATATGAACAGCGTCAGGTTCACTGGCTGTATAAGATAAAAAAGACAATTCATTAGTTGAGACAATTTAAAAAAATGTATTTCCTGTTACAGAGCGAGATTGGGCTATCTTATAATTTAGTCGAGAGCTAAAATTCTGTAACATAATCCCAACCAAGCCAAAAGCCGAGTTTAGAAAGTTACAGAATTTAGAGATAAACTGACCTTGCTCAGATACAGGTCATTGACTTTTTCTCATGCCTTTAAATTAGGAAAACTGTTCAATTTCACTGTAGTCTACAAAATTTAAATATCCCGTCTGGTGCTTCAAAAAAAGTTTCCGCATAAACAATGTAGTCTGTCATTACAATAAAGGAAGTGTATTTCACAGTCTAGGTTATATCTTATCTACAAAATCTTACAATATCAAAATAATACATACCACGATAAAATATAATATTTATAATATGGCTTTTCAATTTCAAGCATTAGCACATGAATTAATCCATGTGTAAAATTCTAGCATTTCTGGTCTAATGATTCTGATACTTCAATAAATATTAGCAAACACTTACTCTCCCTACAAGATTGAAACCGAAAGCAAAAACTGCACATGATTTGAACTTCAATTTAAAGCAATCATGAAAATGACATTGCAACAAATGAAACCTGTTTAGTTTCAATTAAATAGAAAAGTATATGCATATATCTGCAATATGTTAATATGTTAAATTTTGGGGTAGAATGTTTGTGTTTGAATGATTACTGCACGTCCCTTAAAAGCTATAGAATTTAGGCATTTATTTTGTAGTCTACAACCAATAAAATTGTCAACTCCTCTTTATTCCTCATTCTGTTGCATGATTTGCAACATGCCACTTGTGAAAATTTCATATAAAAGTTGTTTCAACATCTACAGTCTGCAGATTCAGTTTAATTTCTGTTATTACTCACAATTATAATTTCCACCATTATCTTTGATGAAATCCTCTATGATGATGGAAAGGGAAGGGAAGTCTGCAGATCTAGCGAGCTCAAACACTGAGGGCTACAAATGATATGAAAAACATCTGAATTTGTGAAATCAAATATCTCACTAAACCAAAGCATTTACTATTGTTCTGTGTGGTACATAATGTTACAGTAGGGCATGAACGGAAGGTTAAGGACTCTTTGACTTGAGTAAATTCAAATCATAGTTTTGAAACTGAAAGTTTATTTATGAGTGACCTTGACCTTTGATTATGTGAGCTCAAATGCAATCCCATGTATTTTTGGTCTACATGCACAAGATACCAGACTGATTTACAAAGTTTGACTTTAACTATAACCATCTTTAAACTTGATGAGGGGATGCAGGGCTGGGTTGGGTTGAGGGAGGGGATAAACATCACATACAAAATGTAGCATTTAGGTGTCCTCAACTTACACCTGTAAGACTGTAGCTGTCAAAACACCAAGTACGTCCATCACCTTTCCGCGCAGCACAGAGGCCCGCTACACCAAGTCCAACAGCACAGATGCCTTCTGTATGACCAATACAATAACTTGATAAATGTAAAGTAAACTAGCATGTTACATAAATATATAAATTCAGTATTCTCACTCTTCATTTATCATTATGTAATACAATACTCCATTTATATAACCATTCAGTTATTTTTTTGTTTGAGAATGGTTGTTCTATCAAATTCTAATTCTAGACCTACTGACATTGAGATATTGATAAAAAGACAGAATGACATGCTTTATTTTGTCTTACAAATTGAAATAATTGCAGTGTTCTAGAGTTGATAAATGCTACTGATAGGTGCAATTTGACAAAAATAACCTACCTATTTGGAGATATATATATGCTCATAAGGAACTTTCCTCAATGATTAACAATTGCTGGGGAAACCACTGTGATGTTACATGTAATATGTATATAACCTAGGTTAGTATTGATTTGTTACTGTGTTAGGTTATCTAACTTACTTTTCTCATTGACAAAATGTGAGAGAATCTGTCCTAGGTGTTTATCAGTGGCCAGGTCTTGTAGAGCTCCGGGGGCAGAGGGCAATAATAGGGCACTGTACCGCGCAGCTTAAACATTCATAATGACAACATACAGTATACAAAAATTCCATTAAATTGTTTCTGAAAAAATATTTTGATCAAATGATTTTATGATGATAACTAAATGAATATATAATACACAGGGATATTCAAAGCAAGATTAGGTTAAACAAGTCATCAACACAAGTTTTCAAAATGGTTTTTGTTTGGAAAGAATTCTGAAAACCTACTACTATTTTCATCATTTATGTGTAAAGACAGATCCTTGTGCAAGCAGGTTTAATTCTGAATATTTTCAATATATTTTAAAGTGAAAAAATGAAATATTTGTATTTGGTACTTGATGTTTTTTTAATGAGGTTTGAACATTACCCCCATTCCTAACAAGCACACCTACCATTTTCTGGTCCAAATGTCTTTTTACTATAAGTTACTGATTAACATAAAAAAAAGTGTCTAATATGGCTATTTTTAGTGTTTTTAAAGGTTCTGCTATCATTCTGATATCGAGTAGTGGCCAGGGAAGTTATTAGGCTTCGTTCAGAATCTGTTACCATCCATGTGTAGTAAACTTTGACCATTTGCTACAGCTGTGATTCTAAATCCTATATTCTGCTCTACTTAATTATTTCTTTAAATGTTTTAAAAATGCTTCTTGTAATTTTCAATCAAAAGGTAAGTTTGGTATAAAAATAATTGTTGTAACAAATTAAATGGTTTTGATCATGTAGTCATAAATGTATTGGGTTGTTCACATGAACCGGGTATATTTCTAAACATTTTCTTCAGGTTGGTAAGTATGGATTATGAAAAGTTCTTTTTACACAACCAATAAGTGTTTCTATGTGAAGTTTCGATGACTAGTACGGTATGTACACTGTCACCTTCATCAGTGAAGGTGACAGTCACATAGAGCATCAAACGTGAATGTCACATAGAAACTGTTATTGGTTGTGTAAAAAGAACTTTTCATAATACCGGGTATATTATCTGAAATGTTTGGAAAGGTGTTGATTTGAACCACTTTGATTGTAACTTGATACTATCACTTTTGTGATGTCATGAATAATTATGTAATATTTTATATTTAAGGAAGGCTGATTCCAAGAGAATTGCCTAGCTGCCCTATTTCCTTTTTTCAATTTGTTTAATTTAATGATTTATAAAAAATTTGAAAGTTTAACTTACAACAAGAGAACCTCGATTACGCCCGTCGAATGCCATATAATGTTATATACTTTCTTACATTGAAATAAGATATCTCTGCATCATTCTAAGAGTGGTTAGCTGACATGCTGTAAAAAATGTAGGAGAAAATCTCTGGACAAAAAATCAAATACTGGAATGAACAAAAGGCAATAACTTTTGCAAAACTTGTCGAATCAAAATTCTTTTAAAGGAGACACAACTTCAGATCATGATTATAATGTATAACAAGTTTCAAAGAGATCCGTTGAAAAATGTAGGAGGAGATTGCTGGACAAAAATCAAATACTGAAATAAACAAAGGGCAATTACTTTTACAAAAATTGTTGAATCAAAATTCTTTTCAAGAAAAAAACAAAACAACATATCATGATTAGTTAGCCTACTAAGTTTCAAAGAAATCCGTCAAAAAATGTAGGAGGAGATCTCCGGACAAAAAATAAAATACTGAAATGAACGAAGGGCAATAACTTTTGGAAAAAATTGTCGAATCAAATTCATTTAAGAGAGACACAACTTCATATCATGATTATATATGATGTATACCAAGTTTCAAAGAGATCGGTCGAAAAATGTAGGAGGAGATTGCCGGACAACCAAAAGTTTATACCGGACGGACAGACAACCCCATACCATAATACTTCCGTCAAATGTGACAGTCGTATAAAAATCAATAAATTTGCACAACAAAACAAATAGTACATAGATGAAAGCAAAGACATATACATGTAGAAACACATAACTGTATAAGATTTTAGAACTGAATATATATCCAGTTGCTTTGCAGTCTCTTATACAAACAATATTGCAAGCAACAAAATAAACATTTAAGTCACATCTGATTGCAATATAGAAGTGTTACCATCAACTGTGTCCAAGGCAATAGGTGTAGAGGAGGCCTTGCTTCGGAACTCATTGAACCAACGCCGGTTACTCTCATCCTGTTGTGTGTACTCCACATTCCGACCCTATCACACAAAATCAAATCATTCATAATTACATTATTTTATTCATTCATACTTTCATTTGTGGCAATACTCTTCTCTTTTTATTCAATGAAGAGATTTATTTATGAGAGTATCAATATATATACCGATTTTCAGCCTCAAAAAGTACCTGCGCAAATTACATGGGTTTTTACGGTATATAACTGCAAATCTGTTTTGTAAACTTGTGTGCACAGGCATGGCTACAGTTTTACATATATGTAGAACATGCTATGCTGCCAATATTTTTAAGTTACAAATAGCAGCTAAATGATTGTAAGTCACCGCTGACACTTACACGATTGCAAAGAACAGGTGAAGTGTTTGAAGCTTTGAATCACTCAAATGGTTTACCTGTGATTTACATTGGCATTTTGAAAATTGAAAAAAATAGATCGTCTATTGAAATACAGTGTACCAGGTATTTGATTTTTTTTCTTTCTTATTTTTGTATTTATTTTTGAGGAAATTATCAGATTCTTTAAAATGCAAAAATTGTCTCTGTACAAATGTACTAACCCTTGTTTTTTAATTATAAATGCTTAATACTTGAGAACTTACACATTCACTTTGTTTTATAGATTTGACCTTATCCTAAGCTTATTTCAAATTTGAATTTGATAGCCATGTCATTCTTGTTGTCACATTATCTATACTTTCACTTTATGCCTATGTATAGAATGTGTGTGTGTTACTGCATGAATAAATACACTTGCAGGTTTTTTTTAAGTGTTGTCATGCGTCTTGTTGTATCAATTGATTCACTATACAGAAATGGGTACATGTGTAATTCAGGCTACATGTGCATATACAGTGTATGTATCATGCTCAAATAGTTAAGTTGCACATTGATTTAAGTGTAGGGCAGTTTTCATGAAGTACCGAAACGACCGGGTACCGAAACGACTGTACCCCGTTTTCACCTACCCCTGGCGACGCCAATTGGATGTTGAAGTTGGAGCTCGCTAGATTGTATGCCTGTATAAACGATTGTGCAGAAACACCTGTCAACATAGGAAAACAAATAAACACACGTACATGTATGTAAACAAACAGAACAGGAAACGCATGCCAGCACAGACACATCATGTACATTTACATTTAGTTATTTACCATGTTAACAGAGATGTTTGTCAACACAGTAACACATCTCAATGTTTTCCTGCTCCCTAGAATCTACTGTTCACTTTCAAACTGTACAATTTTAATTTACTGTAACAACTGACACGCCCCCTCCATCTTTTAAAGTAATAACTATCCCTCTATTGTGTATGTAAAATAAAAATAATAGTATTTAGATCTACTGTTTTCACATTCAAGTAGATGGTGTTTGTAATAAGTATGAATCTGGTGTAAATGTACCTTCATTTCCTGCACTTAGTACAAGAAGGCAATTTGGTCTGGGCGCAGCCATCTTTATTGGAAAATGTCTGGGTTTTTTATCATTAGAGTTACCTTTTCTTGTGTTGATTGCTTACAATTTGCAGGTTGTCCTAATTTATTTCTGTTGCAAATGTCCAGTGAAACCAGTAGTTGCGATTAAAACGGTTTAAAAGAAGTAGAAATAAAGTGATAATAAAGTGTATCTGGAATTAATGTATGTAGTCAACATAAAATCATCTTTTGATATTATAAGACAACAATCCACAGACATCACTGAACGTAATATACACCCATGCCACTCCTAAGGGTAGGCTACCGCTTGCAGAAATAAGAGAGTGCATTTGATTAGACATCTGTTATCCACTCAACCAATCAAGTTGCTTGATACGTCATCAGTCTGGACTACACGTCAACATGGTAGGTATAATTTTGTGTTCCCGTTGAAAATGACAAACAATGTATCCAATGAGACAATTGAACAGGATTGTGTCACTTTATCATCAATATATACAAATCAAGTGTTGTGTCACTTACTGCTAGTATAGCTGATACACACAATATAGCCCTTCTACTTCTTTGCACCACGGCGCGGGGTTGCAGTAACGTAACTGACTTTACTTTAGTATTTACGTACACACATGATCACAGGTCCCGGACATATGCTAGCATATACACATCATATTACTATTAGTGTATCCAGCACACGTCCGTCCGCTGGTACTGTCTTAATTGATACTGGCCTCTGGCACCGAATCCGGTTCGACACCAAACAGTCTCTCGATTCTATTCATGTATAAGTTAGTGACAATATATGAGAGTACTCCAACAATATGAGAGGCGCTTTACAACAGGTTGGGCACCACGGCGCATAAGGGTAATAATCCTGCATTTGGGTAACACGTACGGTAGTTATACCAATGGGAGAAACAATTTTATTACTGAAGTTGAGAATGAAAAAGATAACACAATGAAGTACATTTGTATACAAAAAAAATATCAATTCTGATGTCTAACTTTTTGTGATATGACAAACCATATCACTGACTTTGTTCTCCATTGAAATTGTTACCTAAATGCAACATTATAAACTTATGTGCCCAAACTGGGCAAAGACTCTATACTTAAAAGGAAACAAAAAAGTGCTACATCTTCGAGGGAGCAATATGTTCTGTAACATAAGAGGATGCAGGCCAGCCATTTTAATAATTAGGGTAGTTATATCCAGTTTTGAGAAATGCATACAAAGAATAAACAGAGAATTGTTCTATGGCCACCATCCCTTTAAGTTTGGTTCTATTCATAATAATAAACTTACGATTGTAGCATATGCACATATATACATTCTGTTTAGTGACATTAATATCATCGGGTGGTGCAGTGGATAGTGCACTTGCCTTTCACCAAGGTGACCAGGGTTTGATTCCCAGATCGGACGTGAAAAGGTTGGGGGCACCTTCCCGACCAAGTGGGTTTTCTCTGGGTACTTTGGTTTCCTCCCACAATAAGACTCCCCCGGGTGCTAACATCCGGGTCAACAAGAGTGATTATTATGAGTTGTTAAACAAATAAAGTTGATGTTTATATTAATATCATTCTATTTGTTTAACAATGTCCGATCAACACTCAACCAATCAATGCTACATGTACTTATGTGAAGTGCTGATATATACTCCTGAGGCAAATTATCAACATATATTATTAATGTTTACATATAACTGCTTATAGATGAAGAATAGAGTTTGGAAGATATCTGCACAGCACATATATGAGCATATGTCTTTAAATAATTGTTGCTATAAATGGCAATGTCATTTTCTTTTACATATTTATAATATATCATATATACACGCAGATGCAATAAGTGTAAATTAAAAAAATATTCAGTTTATCAATTTTAAACTTGTATGAAGTTTGAAGTAATATGTACAAGCTGCCATAATGATTAATAAAGATAAGATTATGATATATTTTTTATATATTTTAATGACAATCTAAGATTGCAAGTATACATATCTACATTGTAGTGAAAAAATATGTACATGTATAGCTATATACATCTCTACATGATGAGGATCTGATGGTGTATACTAGATGCCCATCAACACTATTCAATTTTGTCATAAATTTGGTATCTTTATATATGAGTAACTTTATTGTAACAAATATCAAAATATGCAGATTCAGATTGTTATTACTATTATATATATATATATAACACAAAAAATAATTGTTCTAGGGGAGACAATTTACTTTCATAAACTACAGAGTTAACCCACTTACACTAATTTATACGACACATGTATGTTTTGGTCTAGATCTATAATTGCAAATGTTTTCTCCATTTTTGATTTTCAGTCGGCACTATTTAATTTCCAAAGCCTGCTGACTGTAGTTTTATTGCTGATCTGTACCTGTGCCTATATTCGATCCATATTTCCTAGTTTTATAGACAGAAACAAAACAGGGTGAGTGTGAAATACATTTCTCTATAAGCCACTGTATATTTCTCTACACAAGAAGCATTGGATAAACAATTTGGGTAAATAAGATAGACAAGATAATGTTGATGTGTTGATAGGGAGAGTAATACAATAATGGGGAAGGATTTGTCTTGTAGTCTTTTTGGGGTAAGAAAAAAATCCAATGTCAGTCTAGATTTCACTTGTCAGGTAATTATCAATTATGTTAATAAAAAGATTATTTTCATTAATGAAAATATGAAAAATACTTTCATATAATATATATTACCTAGATTGACATTTTAACAGAAGTTTTTTTATAACAATCCTTTCTTAACATACTAATGATAAAAAAAAAAAACAGTTTTAGAGGTTTAAAAGTAAAAGTGTTGTGAAAATCATTGGTTACACAATATACAAAATGTATATATATATATATATATATATTCCTTGTCAGATGTGTTGCTAAGTTACAATGACGTTTTTTCTCTGTTTTTTCCCCAGACTTTTAGGAACCTTCTGGAAGTGCGCAAGAATAGGTATGTACAGAATATATTAACAACAAGTTTAATTCATTGTTTGATTGTTTTTGTGTTTTTTATTTTTTTGTAAATCTGGCGAGCAACTGTCTTTATTGACCTGTTAACAGGTGAAAGACTGAGTCCGTACGTGGCATTCTGCTGTATTGGGATGGCAGTCAGTGTGCTGTTTCTGACTTAGACCGTCAAGCGACCACATCATTAGGACTAAAACGTTTGATAGCTGGGACTACAACTAAGTATGAGTGAGGAAGAGAAAGAAGATGACTATCTTATCCACTTTAACTTTGCTATAGATGGAATCAGGACGAGTCTGTGAAAGTACAAAGCAAAAATGTGTAAAACTGTATCTGTGACTGGTTTATGATAATTAAATGACAGCTAAATTGCCTGAAAATTGGTACATATACAGATGATAGATACTGTGCGTGAATGGTGATGATACAGAGGTGGATCTAGTCAAATAATTAAGGTGTTTTATACTCTAAGACTCTGTTATGATGATGTAGATAGAAAACCACATTGTCTGAATTAAAACTGTACACACCAATATTTAATATAAAATATGATTGAATGTTTTGATAAAATCTAGCATTTCTAGTATTGATGTATATGTGTGTTAAGTTCTTGAAGTGAAAAAAAAAATGTTTACCAGAGTTTGTTTAAAATTTGGACATATACAAGAAATTGTATTAGAAATTAAAACACCATGCAGAATTTTGTTTGATCGATGATAAAAGAATAGATTATATTGTTTTGAAAAAAATAGAGTTTTACTAAAACATATTAGCATAAATTGTTTAAGATTTATAACTAATATATACAGGAATTCAGATAATTTGTCATTTCTTATGAGATATATTATAATGTATAAGAGTTTTTCACTTTGTAAGCCAGTCTCTGTTGAGCCAAATTGAAACAATGGCATTACGTTTCATAAATGTGAAAAGAAATGAAAGCTCATCTGAGAATTTTTTTATCACATGATCAGTATTTTTGCAATTATTGTGTAAAACACATTTTAAGGTAATTTCTGATGTCCAGAATACCGCCTTCATGATTCTTTTATTTATTGTCTACATTGTGATGTCACAGTATAATATGGAGGTACATACATGTACATAACATTTCATTTGCCATTTCATGGGTCAGGTGACCTCATTTCTGTCATATTACATCAGTGCATTCAAAATATATGACCTGGTTTTATCACTGAAGGATACAGTAGTCATGTGACAAATATCAATTTCAATTTAATATTGAGAACCTTTATTGGATACTGGAAGTACTGGATGTTCTAGTAAGAATGATCAAGTATATTCTATGAAGCCATTTTTAAACATTTTTTAATTTTCAAGTTCAAATTGGAATTAGAAGGCTTCATGATGAAGTATATGTCTTCATCAGGATGCCTTCTAATTCTGATGTAAACTGTATTGGGATTGCAAAAGAATAACTTAGTGTTTGGAGTGTAAAATTCAGAATTAATGAGTGTTTTGCATTTTAAAAAAAACATGGACTTGAAATTGTTTTACTGTCACTCTAACTGAACTACCTATTCAACAGAAGACTCCTAGCCCAATCGCACTACAGTTACAAACAGAAATGAAGGAGCGGTTAATGTATATGCGGAAATCCACAGTGGAACTCTCTAGTGTTTTGCCTGCAGTATTACAGGGATCCTAAAGTGTTTTATTCTTAATTTATAAAGTATGTCATACATGTAACAGCAGATATTACTTTATATGAAGTCTGAGATCAAGTGCTAGTTTGTATAAAGAAAGGTAGACGCATGCTGCATACAAAACATGAGTGTAAGAAAGAGGGACTTGTATTATTTTAGTAAATTGTATATCTGTTATTGTATGAATTTATAATAAAAAACATTCTACATCATCAAGTGATTTTATAGTGTTATATATCTAACATAGCTTACAATTGCATAGGCCCGAAGGACCAAGGGAGCTTATGCCGTGGTGCGGCAGCGTCGTCCTTCCGTCCATCCGGCGTTACTATTTTACTTTTAAACAACTTCTTCTTAATTTTGGCCAGAAGCAAACTGGGATAAAGTGCTACCAAGTTTGTTCAAATAAATGACCTTCACCCATATTGAAGGTCACAGGGGTCAAATATGTTAAAAACTTTAAACGAATTCTTCTGAATAATCAAAATGCCTAGGGTTCTGATATTTGGCCAGTTGCATGCTGGGACGAAGGGCTACAAAGTTTGTAAAAATTAATGACCTTCACTCATATTCAAGGACACAGGGGTTGAATAACCATGAGGCCTAGAATGTTGATAATTGGATCAAGGGCTATCAAGTCATTTGAATGACCTTGACCCACTTTCAAGGTCACATTTGATCAGATATGGATAAACCTTTAAATTACCTAATCTCATTAAACAAAAGGTCTAGGGTGGTGTTATTTGGCAAGTTGCATATGCTGAGATGAAGGGCTATAAGTTTGTTCAACATAATGACCTTGTTCGACTTTCAAGGTCACAGAGAACAAATGTTTTAAAATCGTTCAACGGGTTGTTTTAAATTATTTATAGTCATAAATACTGATAATTTGCCTGTAGCTTTATTTTAGATCACTTTTAAGGTTACAACTGTAAGATTAATAACAGGTGAGCGACGCAGGCCCATAAGACCTCTTGTTTAAAGAAACTCAATATGCTTCGAGATTTTTTACGTCCTGAAATCAATTGGAATCCTGATGGATAAGCCACTGTAATTAGCTAGGCCTCGGTTAAATCTGATATTTTTTTGACATATATCTATTTGGGAAATAATTTATTTATTTTTTCAATTCACACTTATAAAAATCAACTTGTTTGTAAAATATTTTCATAATGAAAACAAAAACAAATTTGGACTCAATGTATTCATCATTAGAACTCATATGGCAACTTGACACGCACATATATATATCAAACCTAAAGTTCTCGTCGAGAAAGAGGACCAAACAACAAAGCTGAGTAGTGAACATTTCTACATGGTACTCATACTACAACACACTGCAACTTTCTTTCAGATGTGCAGAAAATGTCTTGTTTGGTAGCTTCATCAATATACATGAATACTTCTGCAGCCAATCTTCACTAGAAAGCTCCATGTTTGAACCACTATCTCTGCAATCTACAAGAATTCCATCGTATTCGACCTTACGTATACTTTCAAGGCCACAGAGGTCAAATAACTGTAAACCTTCCAACGCTTCTGAATATCCAATCAACCGAACTTCACAATATTTGGCCAACAACTCCGTGTATCAAAACAAACAGATGAGCGATACATGCCCTTCTGGGCCTCTTGTTAAGTATAATTTTCTTCGTTCGTGCAGGGATGTGTCCACTACACATCCTTGGTTCCTGTCAGCCGTCCTTAAATGACCATATAACTGTTGATAGGACGTTAAACAATACTAAACCAAACTAATCGTTCCTGTCGAACATGGTTATTGGGTGGTGCAGTTAATAGCGCACTCGAATTTCACCAAGACGACAGGGGTTCGATTCCCTGATCGGCCGTGAAAAGGTTATGGAGTCGTCACCTGCAAATGTACCTGACCATGTGGAATTTTCTCTGGGTACTCCGGTTTCCTCCCACATTAATACCCCGGCCGCTAACATCGGGACCAGCAAGGGTGGTTGATACAAGTTGATATAACTTGTTTCATAATTGTTGTAAAATAAATAAGGTTTATAAAAAAATGAGCACAGTACCATGACTTGCCAGACATTGGTAGGTACTATCTCCTACTGGTACTGTCAGTTTCTAGTTTATGTCCACTGTAAGCTTCAGATTCAGTGTTTGGAGTAGGATCTCGCGCCCTCCATCATGAATTCAATTTGTGGTGACTTCTGCGTCGGTCGTTTTGGTTTGTTCTTCATTTGCCTATCGATTGTTTCTGTAGTACAATGTACCTTGCCATGATTGAACCGCCATGATATGAGGATATGAAGTGTCTTAAAGTTATTTTATTCCCACAATCAGATATCTCTGCGAGGACTCATCCGTGCTAGTTAGAGAAGGTACCGAACAAGAAATTGGTGGTACGTTCAGATGTTTGTCTGGCCAGTCCCCCATCTATTTTATCCCCCTTTAAACCAAATTAACCTTATTTTGGTTTTCTGTTACCTATCTCCTCATGATTGAATTTCTTTTCGGGCCGTCGTCTTATGGCTACTGCTCCTACATCTCCTGTTATAGCCTAGTCCATTACTTTATGTGATGATATATCCGACTAGGCCTTACTAGTGCTCAAAAACATCGCTCCGTGTCATGGTAAAATCCTTTAAAATCCTGATAAGCGAGGACTTTCCAACCTTCATGGTACTCCCATGCTTTAAACTATAGTATATATTTCTGCTATATGCCCCACCAAATGTATGTTCTTTGGGTGGCCGGGTGGCGTAACGCACTCGCCTTTTACTTAGTTGGTCGAGTTTCCATGCTCCGATCGGCCATAAAATGGTATTGAGTCACCTGCCCGACCATGTACGTGAGTTTGCTCCAGGTACTCCGGTTTCCTCCCAAATTAAGCCACTGGTTAGTTTGCCTTGTGTTTTTTTCTCCGTTCCTACTGTCTGTGTTGCTCTGACTTGCTTCAACACTTTCGTAAACACCATTGTGGTCACAGGTTGTTATCTTAGATCTTGTCAAGGTCACCATATCACTGCACCCTTGGGTGCAAATCCCTTGCTTTTTAACTCAATTGCAGTCACGTCACAACACAACGTGTTTAGGAGTCGACATTTCATTTCATTTCAACAAATATTATTGGACAAAAACAATTGAACAAATGGATTAGACAGCAGGCTTCTTCTTGGGGTCAACATCTAATATTATAAACACAGAAATAGAATAAAAAACAATGTCACTCTAAAAATTACGGTTACAATAAAATCATAATTCTTAGTTTCGATTTCACGTGTTATATCAGTAGGCAATTACAATTTTGATGGTATTTGTTGTTTATTTGAGAAATAATGGTATCCAATAATTGAATTGCACTTTACATACATAATGTGGGATCAATTAACTCCTACTATTGACCCGATGAGCTTAATGTTGAAAGTGACGTGCGCTGGCGAGTATGACAGAGGATGACGGTATGTACGTAGTTAAAAACTTGTTCTACTTACATTACATGATTTTACGTCGAGTTTACTCTATATATATCTCTTGAGTCATGCTTGTTTAGGGAAATTCATTCACGCATGAACGAACAGTTTTCAGCTAATGGAAATTGTGTTATGTATGTTATGAGGAAGCATACGTTAATCTTCCTGGTCTACCTCGATCAAGGTACACGTAATATCAAATAGACTTGAATAATGAGTATGGTGTTGCCATGGCCGTTGTACATGTGCAAGCTGTGATTTGAGGTCATCCATTCTTCAGGTAAGACAACATCCCGCGGTAAGAGGTATACGTATTCTCACTATACATTGAAGGTTCACCGCGCAGTCTTCACCAACATTCCTTTTCGCATCAATGAACAGGGACATGAACAATTGAATACAAAATTGATATCAACATACATGGACATGTCCTGGTGTGTGTAAGCAGTTCAACACTGTCAAATGCCACTCTTAGTGAATTGGTATCAAGTGGGAAATTGGAATGCTCTCTTGAGACTTGAGAAGAACATATAATACTTTGCGTTGAATTAGGGGATTGAACAACATTTAAACATCAGATGGGCTATTCAAGTCGCCCTTTGTTATTTCTCAAAAGGTACTGGAGGGATTTTGGGACTGATCGAGAAACATAGATGGCAGACAGACTGCTTTAGTTTTGAGAGTTAGAATTTGCTAGCGCTATTCCTCGGGATGTACTGGCCTTGGTCACCGACGGGTTGCCATCTTGAAATATGAGAATGAAAGATTATGAACACTATTTCAAGCTTACCTGGTCCGAAGGACCATATGGCGAGCTAATGCCGTACCGCGGCGTCCGTTGTCCATCTGTCGACGTTTCCTTTCAAACGCTACTAGTCCTGAATAGCTTGCTGGATTTAGACTAAATTTAGTCTGGAGCATGCTTAGGCAAAGGAGACTAAAGTTTGTATAAACGGTGCAGAGGGGCGGGGCCGATATGGGGAATTTTGAGTTTAAATATTTAAAATCCTGCTTAATTCTTCTGTACCATTTGAAGGATTTTATCTTAATTTAGCCAGAAGCAACCTTGAGCAATGGGGAGTCATTTTGTATAAAAGGAGGTTGTGGGCCCTTTGGGCGCAGAGGGGCGAGGCCCATTAGGGGAAATTGAAGTTTAAATCTTTAAAATCCTTCTTCTTCTGTATAATTGAATGGATTTCATCCAAATTTGGCTTGGATCATTCTTGGACAAAAGGGACCCAAGTTTACATAAACACAGGTCGTGGCCCCTCTTTGTGCAGAAGGACAGGATCCAATAGGGAAATTTGAGGTTTAAATCTTTAAAAACCTTCGTATTCAGTACCATTGGGGAAATTTTATCCAAATTTGACCTGGATCATTCTCGAGCAAAGGATCTCAAGTTTGTTATAAACGGAGGTTGTGGCCCCTTTTGGTGCAGAGGATGGGCCCAAAATGGGAATTTGAGGTTTAAACCTTAAAATGGTCTTCTTATTTATCATTGGACGGATTGTATTCGGCCTGGAGCATCATTGGGCATAGGGGACTCAACTGTGTATAAATGGAAGGCGTGACTACTCTTGGTGCAGAGTGACGGGGCCTAATAGGGGAATTTAAGGTTTCAATCTTTGAAATCCTTCTTCTTCTGTACCATTCAATGGATTTTATTCAAATTTGGCCTAGAACATCCCTGGGCCAAGGGGAGTCAATTTTACATAAATGGAGGGTGGGGCCTCTCAGGATGAAAAGAGGCGGGGCCAAAATGGGGAATTTGAGTTTCTTTTTTTTTTTTGAAGGTCTACTTCTGAGCCATTGTAGTTATTAAAACAAATTTGGCCTTGAGCAACCTTGGCAAGTAGACTTAATTTTGTATAAACGGAGGGTGTGTCCCCTTTGAGACAGATGGGCGGGGCCCAATAGGGAAATGTGAGGTTTTAATATTTCAAATCCTTCCGCTGCTTCTGTATTATTGGAGGCGTTACAACCAAATTTGGCCCAGAGCATCCTTTGGCAAGTGGAACCCAATTTTGTTTAAAGGGATAATGTTGACCTCCTGGGGCAGAGAATGAGGCCACGTACGGGGCGTAGTAATACATTATCAAAATCCATCCGATCCTTTAGTATAATTTGAGGGATTTTAACTAAATTGTGTGAAGAGTAACCTTGGGCAAATGGGACTGTTTTTGTATAAATGGAGGGTTGCTTTTAGGGGGCGAGAGTGGCGGGCCCAAAAGGGAAATTGAGGTTAATGTTTGAAACCCACCCCAATTCATGGGAGCATAAAGAAAAGACCTAATCAGGGATGGTGTTGCTAAGAGACATCGCCAATATTTTGAAAACGTATTATATGTAATAGGAAAGGGAAAAATCCATGGTTGTTTCGTTATCCAGGAAAACGTATTAATGTACAAATCTTCATCATTTTTCATATATTGATATCAAATGGTCTTTGGTTGGGGATTTATCATTCCGAAGCTGATCAGAAAAACAAAATGGCCGCCGGCCAGCCATCTTGGATTTCGACAGTTAAAACTTGTTATCACAGTTTCCCGTTAAGATCTTACTCAAATTTCGAATTTAGGATCACCTTGGTAATTTGCACGACAACGTAACTTTGAAAGAACAATGTCAGTATTAAATGCAACTTTTGTGTTGAACTTTTGAATTACTATTTGTATCCAAAACAAACTTTTCATTTATTATTCATACCAAGCTGATGAATACAATTCCCAACAACGTCAGTATGATGTTTGATAAAAAAAGTTACATGTATCCAAATGTGCATTTACTGTTTATATAACTCAATCAAACAGATCAGAGAACAAAATAGAAAAGATTAATATTACATAGAACCAATAAAGAATAAATGAACATGGTACGATGGTAGGTGGGAAGTGCCAAGATATCTTTTTTCACATTTAAATGTATTTATACTATAGCCTGTTACACCTTTTTTGTCGGAGATTGTAAGCGCCATGTATAAACATGGATCCCTGATATATCATTGCGGATATCTTCAGACGGAAGGGAATATCACGACACTTGTAAAATAACGCAAAAATAAGAAATATCATCGTCATTACCATTTTATAATATCAAAATGATCGCTATCTAATAACACCGAAATAACTGACCAATAGAGAAAATATAGAGTAATACAGTAACACAAAAATAATTATTGTGGTCATTAGCGTTTATTTAAAATTTAAAATTTTAGTTCCTTGAATAAAAGAAGAATTATTTACTATTTAAACCCCTTATGCACTTTTTAAAGGAGTACTAATACTAATGTGGATGAGTAAAATTATCCTTGTGTGTAATCCTCACTGTTATCCGAACAGCTTCATAGTGTTAATAGATGCAAGCTATTAGAACCCTCTCAAATAACAAATGGCGTGTCCACGAAACAAGAATGGCTTGTGTGTCCAAGGTATTTAATGGTCGGTATTGTGATCTCTTTGGGAATCGCTATACTTTCTTATGCGACATTTAAAAGACATATTCTTATTACATTCACTGGCGCACCTTGTGATTTCATGGTCACTACCCCAGAGTTTTCTTTGAGAATGTGATATTACTTTCGTATGACATATTTGTTTTTTAGATTATGGACGTCATTGATGAAGTACAAGACGCTTACTATTCAGGAACGCCTGGTCTTTTTTTTTGCTCATATCTTGTTGTAGTAACTTCGGTTGTGAGATCGGAATACAGTTTCGTTTATAATAGGTACTCTATATTTTGCAGGGATTCATGATGGACAGACACCAAAAGGACGTTATCCAGAGGAATTTCTCTTTTCTTGTTGACCATGTGGATCCCCGACATATCATTGCGGATATCTTCAGACGGAAGGGAATGTCACGACAGTTGATGCAACGTATTCACAATGATGAAGGGCGGATACACAGAGCGGAAGTATTCTTTATGGAAGTCGTAGATACGTGTCCGTTCCATGTGCTCATAAACTCTCTGAGATACACGAAACATAGGTTTGTAGCTCAGAAACTGCTGAAAGCGTATCAACCGATAATACTGGAAAGAAATTCTTCACAAAATACAACCCAACAAATAGATACTCGAAAATCAAGTGACCTTGCGCAGCAAAACGGTCTTTCTATCCAAAACGAGGAATATGTATATGTGTACGAAGAACTCAGATCATATAGGGACAATGGCGATATTGATACACTTGAAAGACGAGTGAGCAGTATAGTATGGAAGTGGGAGTCTGATTACAAAGCCAGGCAGCCATCCGCAGAGAAGTCTTGTATTGCACAACTTGCCATCGAGGCCAAGTTGGCCTGGTTTCGTTTCCTGATTGAGGCAGGCAGACCATGCGATGTGCTTGCACATGTTCACGATATAGGAAGTTTTATCATTCATACCGTGAACCCAATATTATCAACGGTCATGATTTTGGCTGTTCAGACACAGTTACTGGTATACCCCAAGGGATACATGGAAGACACCCTAGACAAATACAATGGCATCAAACTCCTGTCAGCATCTTTACCATTGAATGCGATACATTTGGTGAATGTATACGTCGCAGAATTTTTCATTGATTGCATGTCTATGGCAAGCCAAGTTGTCATTTATGCATGGAGCAATGTTGATCCAGTACTTAACCAAATTATATAAGATATCTTATTTAATTATATAAGATATCTTATATACTTTATGAGATATCTTATATACTTTATAAGATATCTTATATAATAAATGAGATATCTTATATATTTTATAAGATATCTTATATACCTTTCTTTATAAGATATCTCATAAAAGATATAAGATATCTTATATATTATATAAGATATCTCATAAAAGATATAAGATATCTTATAAAGAAAATTAAATGAGATATCTTATATCTTTTAGAAGATATCTTATATAATATATAAGATATCTTATAAACAAAATTAAATGAGATATCTTATATAATTCGGTTATAAGATATCTTATAAAGAACGAGATTTGAATTTGAGATAATAAACCCTCCTCCACAGCGCTCGGTAAAGCATTAAATCGAAAGCCTTAGTTTCGTACGTATCTCTTAACCGGAAATGAAGTATGTGAAAGTGAAAGTAGGAGTTTAATGCCACCAAATAGGTCTGGTTATAGCGGTATTAACATTATTTTAAAAGGTTAAGCTTTATAAAGTAGATGGGGGGTAAGTGGTGGAGAAATGGATGTTCCTATGTATTTCATAACTGAAGGAAAACGATCCTACTGCATGTATTACTTACAATTTATTCATTAAAATGTTTTATCTTGATTTTCTTCACGGATTTCCTCTAAATGTTTTTAAAGAAATTTGATAAAATTGTAATATTACCCGTACAAATTCACAGACAGGTAATTGACATTAAACATATTAGGAACATTTATTAATTGTTTCGGCTGCTTATCACAGACCGCATTAAAGCCATTTTGGTCTCTGTGGAGTATAACATATAGATAGACATGGGGACATTTTTTTTTATTTACTGTTTCAGACTGGTCATACACCTGTATTTATTATCACAGACAGGCTATGTATCTTTAATTATATTGTTTCAGATAAAATTGTTTTAACTATCACAGACATTAAAGAACATACTTATGTATTTGTAATTCTATGTTCTATCAATATACTGTAATGTAAGGAACATTAATTCATTGTTTCAAACTGGTTATAAACTTGTATTTACTTATACTATTACAGACAAGAAGTAATATTTCATTATTTGATACATATGTATACAGATAAGTGATATTTCATCATCAGGTGCATGTTCTTTAAAGTCTTTGAGATATTGATCACTTATAAGATATATTTTGTAGAGATACAATTGTATTTTGTGACCTAAAAGGCATTTCACACAAGCCAGATACATGGTAACACTTACAGCATGTCTGTAGTAGTAATTACATGTGTAATACCTGTCTGTGATAGTATATACATGTGTAATACCTGTCTGTGATAATATATGCATGTGTAATAACTGTCTATAGTAGTAATTACATGTGTATTACCTGTCTGTGATAGTATATACATGTGTAATACCTGTCTGTGATAGTAAATGCATGTGTATGATCTGTCTGTGGTAGTAAATACATGTGCAATACCTGTCTGTGATAGTATATTCATGTGTAATACATGTATGTAGTAGTACATGTTTAATACCTGTCTGTAGTAGTATTTATGTGTAATACCTATCTGTGATAGTATATGCATGTGTAGTACCTGTCTGTAGTTGTAATTACATGTGTAATACCTATCTGTGATAATATATACATGTGTAATACCTGTCTGTAGTAGTAACTACATGTGTAATACCTATCTGTGATAATATATACATGTGTAATACCTGTCAGTAGTAGTAACTACATGTGTTATACCTGGATGTAGTAATATATATATATATAATATATTGCTGAGCATCAAAACTTGGATACACTTTTGTTAGAAAGACTTGTCCTAACTCAGTGCCTCTTGTTTATTATAAAACACAACAAAGATATCTTTATAAAGAAATATTGAGAAGGTTATATAATGATTTGTATACAGATTATACAAACTAGTAAACAGGGTAAATAAGAAGTGGTTTACAGAGTATATAAAGAATGGTATATAGAGAGTGGTATACAGGGTACATAAAAAGTCCTTATTTATTTAGTAAGGGTATCCTCTATAATACAGCCTCATTGCATAAGGTACCTGTATTTATCATCTCTATTATATATAGTGTATTGACTCATTTTCCAGAAGATACAATGTACATGATACAAAGTATATACATGGTATATTTCCGGTAAAGAGGAAAATAAGACATTTCATCTTCAAAAACCTGTAATTGTAGCATATCTCAGGTCTGAAAAAAACAGAGGCAAATCAGTCACTGGGCCAGAGCATTTGGGTGCCAATAGAGGAAGTTTGGGTGTAAAGATAATTAAGATCCCCCACCATGTAACCATCTGAATACATCCATGCTTACATGATTGGCGCCAGGGTCCTGCCCTGCCACAAGGGGCTTATAGTCCCCAAATTTTACATGAAATCAGTAAAGATCCCATCCAAATGCTGCTGGGCATGCAGAGGAAAAACACTCATGATACCAAGATAGTCCCTAATGGAGCCCACCCCATCCCTGAGGACTTACTCCTTCAGTCATAACATGGAAATTGTTGAGATCCCCAAGCTGATATTTCCTGTATGGTAAGAGGTAATCAACAACTTTTAATGAAAAATATTATTCCAGGTGAGCTATTAATAATGTGCCTGTGCTTCTTGTTCTTGAGAGGCCACAATAAGGGAACATAAATGGGAAACTCCAGCACAAGCAAACATGTTATATTTCCTGTGCATGCAATCAATATGAACCAATATCAGACAACTATTATAAAGATGAGGTACCTTACCTACAGAGAATATGGACCTTACATATACCTCATGTATATGTGCATGCATACAAGATGTACTTGATGTATAGGTGTAATCTGATGTATAGAAGGTATATATATACCTGATGCATGGAAGGTGTATATATATACCTGACCTATAGGAGGTGTATACCTGATGTATAGAAGGTATATATACCTGATGCATGGAAGGTGTATACCTGACCTATAGGAGGTGTATACATGATGTATAGAAGGTATATATACCTGATGCATGGAAGGTGTATACCTGACCTATAGGAGGTGTATACATGATGTATAGAAGGTATATACCTGATGTTTAGAAGGTGTATATCTGATGTATATGAGGTGTATATCTTAAGGTTTTTTTTATCAATTGTCGCCCTTTTACTCTTGGGGAGGGGATACATTTACATGATGTGATCATGTGGACGCTAAGGGCCTGAGGGGCGGAGCCAAAAGGGGCCAAAATAGCTCAAACAATAATTGTCTACTTCCAGATCCAGATATGTTAAAAAACCTTCTCATGGATGGAAATATCCTGATGTGCTTAATCAAAATGTGAATTTCACAACCCCTTGGGTACTAATTCCTCCCTGGTGAGGGGCAAAATTCCCTGCTATACATATATATATATGTAATTTTTATTTTTGACATATCACAACAACAAATAACAATTGCATTACAACTCAGGTGACCTGTTAGGCCCATGGGGCTCTTGTTTTAAAGTACTGTATTAGTTGGATGTGTTGATATTGGCTTCCACTAATAATCCCACTACTTACCTATAATTAGATGTGGGTTACAGGGACATGTCACATGCTTATTAAGTGTGCTGCAAAATATATATATATACTGTGATGCCCATTCATTATATATAATATCTTCCATTGTATATATAAACGAGTACCTGGTAGTATTTGACATGTCCCTATAGACTTAAGGTTATGGAATTATGCACTATAGAAATATTCAAATTTCAAATATTTCATATCAATATGGATTGAGTGTCGGTGCTATATATTTAAAAAAAAAACTGTTCAAAACAGTTGATTCTCAAACAGAATTTGTTCTGTATCAAAAAAAAAAATGTTTTTGGGCTGAAATATCTATCCTAGATGTTATTATTAAAAAGAGTTATACAATACTTATCCACAAGTTTTTGAGTCTTGAACCCAAATGTTAAGCACATGTATCAGTAAACTGAATATTTCTCTTGGAATCTGCTTCAAACTTTGGGGGAAAAGTCCTATTTGTACCATATGCTCCCCTGAGTGATAAAATTAATTTGGAAAAGGAACTGAAATACAAGACATTCTTCATTTTTGAAATTATATCTAAGTTCCCTAAGTTTATGATCTAGTGCCAGTCACTTTTCATAAATAAAGATGATGAGATTAATTTAATATAATAAAATAACCTTGCTATAGTGATATGTACACATATATAGTATAAATATATTTTATTATGAATTTTTTCTTGGACTTAAAATTAACCTAGAGAGGTCAAGTTAGATCAAATGTAAAAATAAGCAGTTAATGTCCTGGGTATAATAAATTGTATTTCATTATAAATATTCTTCGTGTATTTTAGATTTGCTTATATCTGGTAGATTGCAAGATTCTATACCACCAGGTCTAAATTAACATATAGGACAGTCTTTGAAAAATGGGACAAAATCTAAACAAGCTACTTGGGGTGGGCGACTCACTGAGGGTAGGTTAACTAATTTGATTGGTTTGGAAGAACACTGAACAGATGTACATGTCCTTTACCTGTTAACTCACAAAATACATGAACACAAACTTTAAACCATGAATTTATAACACAGGAAAATCAGCAGAAATCAATAAATTTTGCTTACAACAAAGAAGACAAGTGATGTGAATGATAAATGTTGAATCAACTAACTCAGCTTAGCTTTCTGACATCAACTATAAGACAAGACCTCATTAATAATATAAACCAAACCCCTCCCCCCTCCCCAAATCAAACCAAACTAGAATTCTTCAACGAGGCTGTGTACGAAAAATAACATAAATCAAGATGAATTTTAAAATCTCACTTTATATTTGAGTATGTGGTGACTGATTATGACAATATTTCTGCGCTCTTACCGAGTTTGGCATCATTACACCTTCACAATATAAATCCTCAGCAAACTACTTTCATTTGTCTCATTCTGGTTGAAAATGACGTACAACAGATTAATAAATGACAGTGATTCTCACTAATAAGAACTATATCTAAACCTTTGGATTTTAGGCCAACGAAACTAAATTGTCATTTGAATAAATAAACATGTAGCAACTTCACAGACATTTTCTAAGTTCTCAATGGCTCTTTAGAACACTCGAGTTTCTTTCGGAAAAGTTTATAACTCTGGATTATTCCAGCCATTTTAGAATATATTAATGTGTGATTCCTAACACTAATATTTTAAAATGTATGCGTAAATATAATAATTAATATTTGAATATATCAACTAAAATTCTATATTGGTGTTAGTTATACTTCCTGTTGAAAAATAAGCTAGTTTTACACAGCTCCCGTTTATCGGACTCGTGATCTAAGTACAACGGGAGCAGTCATTTTCAAACATTTCTTCTTTGTCGGTCTCGCGAGAGTCTCGTTCTTTATAAGATATCTCATAAACTTTTCTTTATAAGATATCTTATATCTTTTATGAGATATCTTATATAATATATAAGATATCTTATAAAGAAAATTAATTGAGATATCTTATAAAAGATATAAGATATCTTATATATTATATAAGATATCTTATAAAAGATATAAGATATCTTATAAAGAAAAGTTTATGAGATATCTTATATCTTTTATAAGATATCTTATATCTTTTACAAGATATCTTATAAAGTATATAAGATATCTTATAAAAGATATAAGATATCTCATAAACTTAATATAAGATATCTTATATGTTTATAAGATATCTCATATGTTTATAAGATATCTTATATAATATATAAGATATCTTATATAATATATGAGATATCTTATATAATTTGGTTAAGTACTGGATCAACATTGCTCCATGAATAAATGACAACTTAGCTTGCCATACATGTCGTATGAACTGACTGCGAAGCATGAACTCAAGGACAAGATATGTAGTTCTCTCGACCAAATCATGGACAGGTTTGTCAACGTGACTAGTGCTAATGAAGCTGAGAAGCGATTTCGATTAGGGTTCATAAGAAGAAGCCTTGTGGTAAAGGCACTTCTATGCCTAAATATGACATCTTGTGGAAGACTTATTTCTGGTCTTGTACCCAGGAGCGATTTAGCATCAGCAAAAGATGCCCTTCAGCGAGTATTCAGTGACTGGGATAAAATGGACAAAAAGTGGAAGATGATGTACCACGTTGCACAGGCGAGACTGCAGATGTCGGAGGGAAACAACAGATGTGCCCTCACTCAGGCTGAACACGCGCAGGCACTATCGGATCAGCTCTATCACTGTGAGGAACGACGCAATGTCACTCAGTTGCTGCAGGATCTTCGACATACACAGAATGACTAAACGATTGTGGAAAAACCGAATTGAAAAATGCACGTGTTTGAACGAAAAAAACCGATTATACGTTAAACTCTGACTTTACTTGTACAGTGGTTCCATTAATCCTGACTCAACAAACATAATACTTTAATCCCATTTCTTGCGAGACCTACCAAGTAACATATAAGTGTGTTCCAACATTCCGTTTTCTCTAACCAATATGTTATTAATCACCACTGACTTGTATACATGGCGGCCATCTTGGATTTTGAACCGACCCGAAAAATAACAACACTTGGTCAGGACCATATCAGGATCATTTCAGGCAAGTTTCAGCTCAATCCCACTGGCGGAACTTGGGAAGAAGTTTAAAATAGGTGTTCTTTAGGAAAACCATGATTGCGCAATCATGTTACAAAATGGCCACCATGGCTGCCATGTTTTGACGGGGCTGAAAAATGATGGAACTTGAGAAGAAGTTTAAAATGTTGAAAGTTTACGGACGGCGGACGACGACGGACGAAGCACGATGACTATAGGTCATATTGACCCTTTGGGTCAGATGACCTTAAAAGCTACCATGCGGTAACGCACAAGGTCCGGATGGTGTTTTGGATGATTGCTTAAAGAGTGCACTAAACTTGTTGCTACCTTTTTTACATGTACTTTTTTAAAGCATTCTTGACTTTAGCTTTCAAAGTGGTAGGTGTAAAGCACTTATTTTACTCCTGCATAAAGGGACCGTTACAATTATAGATAAATCTCAGTGTTACCAGCTGTAGGAGTGACAACAGTGCTAAATATTCGTCTGATTAAATGGTGTAATGTTGAAGGTAAATTCTATGAAGAACAGTGTGGATATAGTAGTGGATATAGCACTACAGATGTTTTACTTCCTATTCATTGGTACAGAAGTACCTGCCATGTCGACAAGATCGCTTTTATTGCATTTTATAGACTTTTTAAACGCATTTAATAGCATCCATCACCATCTTCTTCGCCATGTCTTACCTAAAAATGGTAACCTTTTTGATTTAATCACTTCCATGTATGATCAATTAAAGACATGTGTAAAAGCTGCAAAACTATGTATGTCAGAAT